GGTGGGGGAGGCTAGGCGTCGTCGGCCGGAGGTGGGGAGGCCAAGCGTCGCCGGCTGGGGGTTGGTCGCCGGCAGTGGTGGTTGGGTTGGTGATTAGGATTTTTTTTATTTTATTGTTTATAAAATAATTTTTTAATAAAAAAAATCAAAGATTAACCATTTTAACCATAAAGGTTAGCCATAAACCTAAAAAAGATCACTATGGTTAATTTTTATAAACCTTGGTGCCACTGAAGAGAGTTGGAAAAAAGTTCGTCTTCCACGTAGAAAAGCTGAAACCTAGAGGCCACCACGTATAATTTTCCAAAGATAAAATTTACTTTTATTGTAAAGATATTACTCATAACTCTATATTCTAATAACCCAACTTTAATAAAATTATCATACCTATTTGAATCATAATTTTTATAAAATTACATATATGCAACTCAAGAAAGAACACAATCATTGTACAGTAAATTTATTCTAAGAGATATCATGAACCAAGATTTCATTAAAAAGCTTTGCAAAGAGAAAGAAGGAAAAGGAGATGATTGATACTCAATGAGAAAAAAGCATGAAGACCAATTCATATAGCTGACAGGATAAAGTCGTATCTCCTAATCAAAAGAATTATCTAAGTCCTCTGACTAAAGTAGATAGGGAAGTACGGTTGAATCCATAGGGAAACAAGTCTTTCTATTCCTAATTAATTAATATGATCTAAACTATTAAGTAACCAAATTATTTTTAGGAGAATTGAACTAAGGAGAAATCAATAAATCAAAGCCTAGGGTATAGGTTCACCAGTAAATAATATTCTAGGGTAAAACATAACAATCAATTATCAATGCATCAATTAATCAGATCATAAAGGGCTTTCGCTATGTATTACAATCATAGAATTAATCTAACGATATTAAATCGCATTTCCCGAATCTTGACTTAACCATTTATAAATTAATCTGCCTATTGAAACTAAGCCTAAACATCAATTCTCATCTCTCGAATCTCGAATCAATATTGCATAACTTATACAATTAAACCAGGCCTAATCTAATTGCATAGCATTAAATCAATCAATAGGAAATCAATCAAACATTGAAAATCAACAATAATAAATTACCCCTTCATATTATTTATGGATCCCCACAACTCTAGAAATAAACTACTCTCACATATTTAAATCTAAACTAAGCAAAACAAATAAACAAGACATGATTAATAGAAGCAATTAAATTACTGAAAATAAAAGGGAAAGGAATCGTTACCAAAATAAATAGAAATATGTAATTGAATAAACCAAAAATGATGAGAGAATAAGAGTATTAACCAAAAGCTTAAAACCAAAATCTGGAAATTAACTAATGAAAAGACGTCCGTCAATCTCGTTTAGAAAAGCCTATTTATACTTAACTAACAAATCCTAAATTAAAGCAAATTAAAATTCACTAAAAACGCTCCTCCAAAACACGCGCCCGGTCGGGCCCTCCTTTTTGCTGGGATAGCCTCCGCTCGCGCTCGGTCGGGCACGCCTCCGGGTGAAGGGCTGCTTCTCTTTCTTCTTCCTCGTCCGGCCGGGCGTGCTCTCGGGCAATCATGGGTCTTCGATTGGGCCAGTTTCTTGGCCCAATCCGGACTTCCTCTTTGGGTCCTTGAAGCTCGGCCCATTGCCTCGAACTCTTCTTCGTCGAGTCCTTTATCACTGGTCTTGGGCTACGGAATATGGTCATATGAACGCGCCTCTAATGCTCGTAGTGGCTCCAATAAATCTGGGTAAATGCTCCAAATCTACAATTTCCTATAAAACAATACCAAATCTACGAAAACACTAGAAAACGCATATTAGTAATAAAAGTGGCTCCATAGAGCCAAATGTACTCCTAAATATGACCAAGGGACGAGGGTAAAACACTATATAAAATGGACATATCAAACTCCCCCAAGACAAACCTTTGCTTGTCCCATAGCAAAGAGCTCATCAATATTAAAAACCAAGCACAAACAATTCAAGACAAATCCAACAAATATGCATCAAAGTCAACCAATCAAATCCATCCAACTACTCATCCTCCCTACAATTGTCAAATAGAGAAAACCATAAGTGTATATGGAATTCAAGAATAGTGCTCACACACTCTTCACTCTTTTATGTGGCTGATATATATATATAAAATGTATCTGACCGCTCTCCGTCCAACCCTTTTATTGTGAACAATGCCCTCCCAAACTCACAACACTCGTGTGTTTAAGAAAACAAGCACTCAACTTAATAGTGGACTCGAAATATGTCAAATCATTCTTTGCATTGATAAACAACTACTTTCACATCCATACAACTCTATACACAAAGGTCGAAAGGTCTTTAAAGCTTGTAATGTAAGGCTAGGGTAAAAGGTAGGATAAATTTGGGAAAATGTGAGAGTAAAGCTATGCTTTAGGAGCCAATCCTAATAAAACCAAGGTCTAAAATAAATAATGACCAAACATCTCCAACGCAACTAATTCCACCAAACATAAATCCAAACATATAAAAAATTCCCAACACTTACAATTTCACTCATGAAAATATAACAATGTAAAACTTGAGTAAAGCAAGCAAACTTTGAACTCTTTAACACTTGAATTTTTTCACTTGAAACTCAGTTTTTTATTTTTTTATTTTCTTTTGAACAACCTTCACTTAGAACATTTGAACATTAAACTATTTTTTTTTCTTTTTGCTCTTTTTTTCTTTTGAAGTTGAACAACAAGAATGAGATAGTATATTTGAACATTAACGATATAGAGGAGTACATTTTACAGCTCAATTAATACATGAGCAACAAGAATGAGATAGTATATGTTACAATTGTGAACAACAAGCAACCACTACTATGCCATGATTATTTTCTATTAACTTCTCTACCTTTTCTTTTAGAATATTATTTGTCAAAATTAGTTAAAACTCAACCAAATAAATCAAATTACAAATAATAATAATAACTATATATTTAAAAAAAAAAAAAAAAAGTGTTCCAAATCTAGCCAATAAACCTCATGATTGACCCCCAACAATTTAATCCTTGAAGCCACCTACACCTACTTTTTCTCCTAATATGTTAAGCAAGTAAGCAACTTTAATATATTATGCACATTTAACACTGCAATATGTATAACATCCAACAAAAGTATCATAAAGCTTCAATTTCTAATTTATGCTCTGCAACATAACATTTTTCAACTCAATTCATGATGACAACAACCAAAAAAAAAAAACACTGATTTTTCCCTTACCTTTCTTTCCTTGCCCTTCTCTCTCCTACTTCTTGCAATTAGTTTTGTTCGATTTGTTAATCTCCTTCATAGACATATACATAGCTGCTCTGATCTTTCTTTTCTTCCACCCTTTTACTACTTATTAATGAAATGCCGACAAACAAAGATTGCTATAGATAATCTTTGTTAGCACTAATTTTGTTCAAATGCTATCAATTTTCACTCAGTCCCCTAAGAAGATCATCCAACCAAAGTGGGAAGACTGGCAAAGAAGTCGCAAACAAAGACAGTGTGAAAGATAATACTTGAATTATTCAGTCTAATCAACTGGGAAAAGTTGATTCTACGGAGTATTTGAAACTTATAGATAATAGCTTCACCTTCTTCCTTAGTAAACCCTTTCTTCACAAATGCAGGTGTTTTCTCAGCCAATTATGTAAACTTCTCACCTCTTTTAATCACCTTTAAATTCTCACCTGCATCAAACTTCTCCAATTTCACATCGAACATCGTCTTCTCCTTGATCTCGGCCTCTACACTAGGCAGGGCTGGCCTAGAAGAGCTAACCCCAGCTGACAATACAACAAACACGACAATCCTAAGGCACATCTTCATCCAAAATAGAATAGAGTAATCGTGCACTATAGCAGCTTAATTGCGATTCGACCTCAATTTTGGGATTTTGATTGAGCTGATATAAAGAGAAAGTGGAATGAGAGAGAAATTAATGGAATAAATTGTTTTACAAAGTATTTTAATGGGATTCTGCTGATCATTGAGTATTTATTTTTAAACCCAAATTTTTAATTTTTTTTTTTTAAAAAAATACAATTAAAGTACATGATCTTTAATTTTTTTTATTATAAAATTAAGAAAATAAAGTAATTAAAGAGATGTGCAAAAAAGATAAATATATATCCAATGTATATCACAAACCATTCAAAAGATTTTTTATAAAAATATAAATGCTAATGATAGTGTGCTAAGTTATGAATTAACAATTCAAAATAATGATATAAGATTTAAAAAAATAATAATTAAGATATAGATAACAATTCAAAATATTAAATAAGATTAAAAAAGAATGATAAAATTTAGGTAAAGAAGATATGATTTATTGTATTTCCTTATAGATAAACATTAATTTAATTCATAATACATGCATCACCAATTAACCCCACAATATGTAGAAATAATAATAATTGGTTTCATTTCATAATTGAAGACCCAACCTACAGGTGAAATTCACAATACCATCATGATGAGGGATGCAATGGTAAACGAAGATACTACCAGGGCTGTCACGGGAGGCCCAAGATACATGTACCACGGGGCTGAAAAGGAGAATAGAATAATTTTGTCAGCATCATTTACGGGAGGCGGACAAAAAATTTACTCTGCATAGAGGTGAAAAAAAGAATATATTTGAACCTAGGAAATTGATTTTTATATATTATTAATAAATAATTGTAACAGTTTTTTCGTTCTTTGAAAACAATTGCAATAGCTTATCCATTACAGTAATAATTAATGTCTTCGTGTTAATGACTTTATCTGTTCTTAAAAATAAAAAAATTAAAAATAAAATTACCAAAGCCGTGCATCGCACGGGCTTCACACCTAATATATGTATATTGTGAAATAAACGACATACTCTAGATTGTGAAATCAACTAGTACAATATTCCACCGCAAAAGAACCCCAAAATATCCATCCTTATACATAAATTTGTGATAAATATTGACTGTCAAATTGATATACAAAAGAATAAATACCTAAAATTATAGTCTAAAATTGTCAAAATAAGCCAAATAGGTAAAACAACATTTTGCATAAGCACAACCCACAAATCTGCCATTCAATTTCCAAAAACTAGAGCATTTAGACTTTGGAGTCATCTCTTGAATATCTTCACCAAATCCTGTATTTAACTATTTTATTACAACAAATACAATTCAACATTTAATAATTATTAAAATTCCAAAAAAAATGAAAAAATAACAAAATACCTGAAGCACCTAAAGCTAACAATATTGTAAAAATAAGCCAAATAGAAGCTAACACATTTATAGCTAACTAAAGACCTAAAGCACTTGACCCTCCTGTTATAAATCTACAAAAACCATTTTGATAACATCTAATTCAAAATTCCATTCTTTGATGCCCAACATATTCACATTTCAAGATAGTATTCTTCACATGACCTGCTGCATGGGGACTGAAGAAATAGTAGGGGCATGTTGAACAGGCTTTGGCTTTGGAGACCTTAATCTGTCCTTCAAGTCATGAACTGCTGCACTAATGTTCTTCCATTGTCCTGCATTAGCAATGCAACATGTTAATTCATCACAACTATAGTTATTGATATTAGAGAAAAATGCACAAGTAAAAGATTTAGGGACTAAAGATTACTTTCCTAATTTAATTGACATTTGACAGAATGTAAGGTGGGACTATTACTTTTCTTATCCAAAATTATCTTAACATTTAGAGTTGGAAGCACACCTGCTTGATATCTTCATTAGTGAACTGCGACAAGGGTCTGAACCCTTTATTTGGTCCCACATTGTTTATCTGCCAAGTGTAATTGATAGTTTATAGTAATAATCATTAAATGAATACTGTAATGGGGTGGATATTTGGAGCGCCAATGACAAGATTTTGGATAATTTAGGTGGTTTTCGGGAGGTTTAAATGATGAAAATGTGTCACCAGTAGTGACAACTATGTAAGTAGTGGTCGTGTGGAAGTTAATGCCCTATGTGATACTTGTATTACATTAATTATCCACCTTTTCTCTCTTTTCCCTTAATTACATCCCCACACATTTATAGTCCACATTTCTCAATTTTTGCTTAGGAGTCCACGCTGCCTCTAAAGTTACAAACAATTCAAAACAAAAATACTACGGAGTATATATTTTCATTTAAGTTATGTTGTTATTACATGATACATGGATGTGATCATTTATAGCCAAACCCATCTGCTTGATTCAACCCGCCTGAAAAAATGAAGGCTTATAAACAAGCCTAGGAATGTCTTTTAGTTCAAAATCGGAACCCCATATTTTTTAAAAGCCTTATATCTCTCTCCCTCTCTCAACATATATGTATATATATACTGGACTTTAGTAATATCTATTAGCGTTAAATCCAAAACAAGTAAACAATCCAATATAGGCGACAGCCTTGAGGCCTAGAGTAATCAATCTTAGCAGTTCAAATGTAAAAGCAATAATTAGCAAACTAAGTGCAGTTACAACAAAATGCTTAAAATATTATTAAATAATATAAACAATAGTAATACTAAGTATTTATTTTGGACTTCTAACAACCATCGTTTGTTATTAGCATCAATTTATTTCACTTACCCAATGCGACCCGAAACCTGGCAACACAACAACGTTGGATACAAACATAGGATCTCTGGGTACAGGAACAGTTCCACAGGCATAGAAAAGGCTCGACACAAGGGTGTGCACATATCAATGGACAAGTAGTTGCATTTACAGCGGAAGAAAAATCGAAGGACACATACTAACAGAAAAGCCTGAACATGCAGAGCAGTATTCATTGTTCATCTACTCCCATATCATAACAGCTGCAAGGCCTACCCTTGAGAAAACCAAAGCATGAAAAGAATCTTAATATTTGGATTAACTAGTGACAGGTAACCTCTCTTATAAGAGCAATGGCTAGCAGCAAACACATTTCCTCATGCATCAACTTAATTTTGTAAGGCAAAAAATAATAATTAAAGGCTCTAAGGCCATTATGGCAACCCAATTCACCAATAATGTTTCATCAAATTCACTTGCTGATATCATACCAATAATCCTAAACATACACATCAATCTTCTAGCAGAGTTCCATTCTGCTTCCATAGAGAAAAAAAAAATAAAAAAAAAATAAAAAAAAAATAACAATTGTAATCAACATACAATCAACAAAAATACATACATAATTTCCACTTTTAGCATTGCAAAACCAACAACAAATGAAATTTAAGAATGAGAAGGAAAGTTGGCATTAATACTGCCATGTAAAGATAATACCACATCATTAAGAAAAATAAATAAATTTATACAACAAAGCAGCCTATTGCAACCCTCCTCCTTTATCCAGGCTTGGGACTGGCAATGAGCATCTCACTGGCGGAGTTAAAATTTTTTTTTTTCCCTAAATCCACAATATAGACATGAAGACACCCAGAAGGAAAAAGGAAAAAAAAAAAAAACTGTGAAACAGAAATCATTCAGCAATCATACTACTATCAATATCACAAAACAGTACAAACTCACAATTTAATAATTTTTACAAAAAATATTCTCATAGAAAACTATACAATACTAAGTATTAGCTTCATGCCCAAGAAGTTACTAGCTAAGAAGGGAAAAAAAAATAAAAATAAATAAACTACAACAGATGGTGAACAAACATATTCTTATGTGAGTTAAATCCACCATCTTATTAAAGCTAGCAACAAGTGTTCGACAACCCACAAGATCAACACAATCTAAAGAAATGCACAAAAACCGAGTCCACAATACTTAAATCACAATCAACATCCATGCAGCATCATCCAACGAGCATTAGCAAATGCATATCCACCTAGCAAAGTCGATGTAGTAAGGAGAAAAGCAACTGTCTTTCAAGTGTCAACTCAAACCCAGACTTCATAGTAGACCAATGAAAAAGTTTTAGTGCATACAGATCCCATTAACTCAATCCAAAAAAAACCACTGCAAGATCCACCATTTTCATAAAGTGCAACACCTTAGGCATACATACTTCATATCAAAGGGGAGTCTGAACAAATAAACAGGCCACCCATACAAATTTAGATCTTCAGAGAAAGTTTACCAGAAAATCCTCCCTTTTCAGCAGACATCCCTGGTTCAATCATAAATCAACTTCCAAATGAAAAGCAAAAGCAAAAGCCAGCGCTTCATGCCTACAAACACACCATTACAGAAGTAACTAAAACAATAGCATGCACAATGACGACAATACGGGGACAGCAGACAAATCCAACATAAAACCAGAAGCAGAACTCCGTGCTTTTCCTCCTTCGAGCTGCAAAAATCTTCATATCACAGATTCACATCAACATAAACAAACCAATACCCCAAGTCATTTTACTTTCCCCCAACTGAAAATAATAGAGAAGTAAACCTTTCATGTACAAAATTCTTAATATGTATCCATCACATCTTCCCAAAATGCATGATTGCAACAACCTGAGGATCCACCTTCACCTAAAACTTCCCAACAAATTTAAACCCAATCCAATAGAACATGACCCTGATATCACCAAGGCCGTAAGATTAATTGAACATAAAAATATCATCATCGAATGTGAATATCCAGTAGTCACAGCGTTACACCAAATAGTCAAAAACTAGAGCAACATAAACCCGAAATGTGCAAGCTCCTTAGAAGAGCAAATCCAAGCAGTCATCAGCACAACGATAGGCAAAACCCATTAACCTGAGTTCAAGAAACCATAATCTACAAGCACGCACCAAAAGAATGATGCAAGCCATTGAGAACTCCAACCACTGTAACACCAAAAGAAGCTGGCGAGAAACAAATCCAAGTAAAGGATTAGAAACTCACTAGATTATTTAAATGACAAGAAAGGGGCTATGTTACACGTAATGTCGCGCTGCAAACTAGTTGACACTGTCAGGATGCATTCACGATAGAGCTCAGAAGAACTCCAACCTTCAATTTCATGAAATCCCAATGCGATGCCAAAGCAATGTCAGTACCACAGATCATCAAAGCTACAGGCATTAAGCCAAGTACCAAAAAAAATAAAATAAAAAACCTGAACCTGAACCTATAAAATCATAAGATGAAGCATGAACCTGAAGGCTGAAGCAAAAATGCATGCTTAATAAAGTACAGCGCGAGAAGATGCTTGGGCAGCAGAAACAAGAAAAGGTAAAATTTCAGAAGATAGGATAGAGATGAACTTAGCACAACTTGCCACCCCATAATCACAAATGACATATTGACAGTATAATCAAGGACAAATTCGCAAATTAGAGCTCAAAATACAATAAGCAAAATATCCATGATCAAGGCAACCCTAAAACTCACTAACATTACCAGACCACATATTCTTAAGGCTGGAGAGTCCTGTTAACAATTGACGAGGACCTGAACTTTCCTTGAAGCAGATGCAATATAGATTAAAAAAGAAGATAGAAACATAGACCGTGATAGATAAAGAGAAGAGCAGCCCAACTCCATCAGTGGGAGCAAATTGTAAGCAAATAATTACTAAGCATCTTTCTATCACACAATCAAGGTGGTGTTAATTGACCACCCCAGCAAACTAAATGTAAGTAAAGAAAGTTCAAATAAAAAAACAATCAAATAAACTGCAATTTGTATAAATGACACCCTATATGGAGTAGAGCCCTCATATTTCACCATCATGCCATTCATAAAATGTCACGTCAACGGAAAAAGCAATAGAAAATTGAATCTGAAACTATGTGGTGTGGAACACAGACCCAGTACAGATGATTCCATTTAGAAAAAAAAAACCATAGGGAAAACCAATCAACGTAAATATGGCAACTATGAAGAACAGAAGATTGAGGAGAGCAGAGACATAAGAGGACACAGCAATAACTAAAAGTCATTATCACCATAAAAATACTCCCAACATCAGCTATATCATATGATCAAGAAGACCATAGAAATGGAAACCAGACCATTAAGCAATGGAAATAAATGTAATAAAGCCAAGAAAGTCATTGGCACCATCTCATGTAATTTTTCTAAACAGACCTGTCTTATCATAAAATCAACAGCTAGATATGAAGATACCAGATTACAAGATAATATTTTAATTAAATAGAAACACAGAAATCTACAAGATACAAGTGAATTGGCTGCATCAAAACAAAAATGAAGATACCAGATTAACCAGCTCATAAAGTCCATAATGTCGATGTGAAAACCACTAGATACACCTAACAGCTTAATCAGTCGAGTCCAACGCAAAAGTGTCAAGTCAATGTTGATGTGGAATCACTAGATACACCTAACAGCATATTTCCTTTATAAAATATTCTAAATGATGTAGACAGAAGCTCTACAGGCTAAGAAATTCCAAGAAACCACAGAGATTCTATTTGTATCACCCCATAAAATCTGCAGAAAAGTGTCAAGTGGAGCCTGCCAGAAACTTTAACCACAAATTTCTCGAATCCCAGTCTGCAGCAACCAGCCAACTACCGTGGAAATTAGGTGCAAAACCAATCCAAGACTACTAATCCATCAAAAAAAATTTAGCGCAAGCCACAAACATAAATTCCACAATAATCAGAGGGAGGAAAAATAAAGAATGAGCCAATTAGATTTTGATGAAAAAAATAAATAGTTACATTTATAGCAAAAGTTAACCATGAACATGTATCACACCATAAAATCTACAGAAGAGTGTTAAGTGGAGCCTGCCAGAAACTTTAACCACAGATTACTCGAATCCCAGTCTGCTGCAACCAGCCAACTACCATGTAATTAGGTGCATAACCAATCTAAGACTACTAACCCATCAAAAAAAAATTAGCGTGAGCCACAAACATAAATTCCACAATAATCAGTGGGAGGAAAAATAAAGAATGAGCCAATTAGATTTTGATGAAAAAAATAAATAGGTACATTTATAGCAAAATTTAACCATGAACATGTAGCTCACAAAGCTCAAGAACTATTCATACTGTAGAACGCAAAGTTTGGGGGTTGTATTCCATTCATCTTTTTAACAAATTCTAGAACATTATCTGTAACCAAGTTGAACCATCTTGAAAGAATCCATTTGTAATACGATAAAGCTTAAAACTTATTTGCTGGTCATACCTTGCAACTCCCACATAGAGATGGATACAATAAGAATGAACCTAAAGTAGAGGATAATGTAATTCAAGAGATCTTTTTAACTAGCGCCAAAACTAAACATGTCACATGCCTACTACCGCCAATACAGGACAGGCCTTCAAACCAGAAAATAACATTCATGAACACGTAATCATAGCACATACCAACCACTGACCTCACCACATGATATAGTGCCTAAAATTAAAACAGTTGGACCCCAAAACAATCACCATCAGGCCTCTTAACAAGTGAATCCAATGTCAATGTCAAAGCATCAAAGATTCAAAGCAGAGCTCGGGAATACACAGTAGCCGAACTTAATCTTCCTCAAGCAGGTAAGCCGCAGAACAAAATATAAATCCCTGATGCAGGCAGCATCACATCACTCACATGCACCTAGTGATAAGGAACAAGTTCAATGAAAACAGAGCTGTATGTTCATAATCACAAAATTGTAGAGGTAGACATGTAGAACACAGCCATCCGCCATACTATTTCATAAACTCCCAAAGTTGCCTCACAAATTGCTGTAATAGAATTCCAATGACGTTAGTATGAAGTCTAAAGTCAACATCAAAGCCCCCATTGAAAAACTATGGAATTCAAAATTAACTCAGTAATTCATTATGATTACCCAATCAACATAGAAGCAAGAGACAGCTCTGCAAGGCCAACATGAAAGCAGCAGGATAAGAAAGCCTCTGCAAAAATTTGTGACTTCAAGCAGCACATTAAGTCAAACAGCAAAATGAAAAGAACCGCTTAACTTAATCAAACAGCTCAATAGATCAATATGATATACAAAGAACCTATTTCCAACTCTTTCCAGCAGACTCAATCTACTTGCAAAAGAAGCAAAAGGGATTGTTTGGCTACATCAAAATTGCTCATCCACCAATTTGCTATCTAGGAATAAAACAAGAAATTAAAGCAGGTTTGGTTGAAACTAAACAGAATTGAAGGTAAACTAACATCCTGCCCAGGGAAAGAGTACTTATCAAAGTAACTAGTATTTGCCGCCATCATTTCAGCCAATACCCCTGAACTGCAACAATCATCAATTACAAGAAGAGCAGAACTACCGAACACCAATGATTCAACATCAAGAAGCAGCAGTTTGAAAAATTCTCCAACATTAATAATCAACAATTCAGCATTAGATTATTCGAGCATTAGAAACATAACCTCCTGATCACAACTGCAAATAGAGTATAAAGTAATCTAAAATGATGCTCCCAAGAAAGCTGATAGTTTGACCAGCACAAAGCTTGACGTAAATGAATTATACCAACAAGTCATGGCCTAAGGCCACTTCCATTTTATATGAGTGCAGAAAAACAAAGGAACATGTATAAATAAATAATAAATAATAAATAATAAATAATAAATAATAAATAATAAATAATAAATAATAAATAATAAATAATAAATAATAAATAATAAATAATAAATAATAAATAATAAATAATAAATAATAAATAATAAATAATAAATAATAAATAATAAATAATAAATAATAAATAATAAATAATAAATAACAAATAACAAATAACAAATAACAAATAACAAATAACAAATAACAAATAATTAAATAATAAATAATTAAATAATTAAATAATAACTCATAAATAACAAATAATAAATAACCAAGCTCTCAGTAGAAATTTTCAACTTTTTTCTGCCATTAAGGTGCGATTGCAATAGTAAGATAATTGTTAATTGTAAGAATACAGGGCACTACAGAAGTGAAGAAGGAATAAGATTATCCAAAACTTATGACTGTAATCTGCAAAAGTAAAACAAACAACAAAATTCTCCACTTCCAAATCACTCAACTCCAGCAATCACATAGAACTATGCGATGATAAAAAAAAAAAAAAAAATAACCATAGTAGAATTAAAAAACAAAACAAAAAATAAAGGCAGACGGCCAAATTGAAATATTACCAATCATAAAATTCTTTTAAGTAAAACACAAAAAAGTAAAACACCATCAAATTCTACCAAAAAGTGTGGTATCTGCAATAGAAACAAACCACAAAACTCTGCATTTATTAAAACACACACATACAAAAAAAGGGCAAACAGGAAAATTTATTAACATAAAAATCTTCAGTTGGACATAAACTATCACACACCTATGTATATAGGTATACAAAACACTAATAATATGTAAGCCAAGCAAATCTATGTAGAATACAAGGAGTCAAGGACTAAAGAAAAGGCATCAAGATAAGTAACTACCTCTACACTTGACACCTATAATCAACCATCACCGACTATGAGTACAGCCAAATGCTTCACAACAAACCAATTACAAACAAAACACATAACAAAAATTAAATTAAAATTAAAAAACAAAAATATATCAACCAAATGTGTCATGAGGTCCCCAAACCAATAACATATAACCCCCCCCCCCCTCCCCAAAAAAAAAGGAAAAAAATAAATTTAGAGCAAGCCAAAAGTCATCGAGTACCACGAACATCAGTTAGTAAGATAGTAGGAATAACACTACCGCCTTCAAAAGGAGGAGTCTACCTGAACAACACTAAATCTGCAGTGCACTGCACAACTTCAACTTACACCTAATGCTTCACAATACAAGCTAATACCACGTAAGTTAAAACAAAGATAGACAATAAGCGCATATCGCCACATCAGAATGCCGAAGTTAGAAATTGACACAAAAACCAACAAAACAAAAAAAAAAAGTGTGCCAACACAATGTGACCATTCAAGAAATAAATCCAATACCACTTCACTTGGAATGAGTAGAAATCAATCTGTGTAATCACAAGCAAACGGCAGAGGCACTTCTGAGATGCAAAATACCACACATCTTAAAACCATCAAAGCACAAGCAAAACCTGACTGCTTTCGTAAAGTGTATCAAACCATCAATTCTACCAAATAGTGCAGTGTCTGCAAGAAAAACAAACCAGAAAGTTCTCCAGTTGCAAGTTATCAACTCTAGAACTACATAGAACAATGCAATTAAAAACATACAAAAAAATAATAAACGACTCAAGCAAACAATTAAATGAAACATACCAAAATTTTCAGTGATAAAATTCTTTAGTCTGCCACAAACTATCACATACCTTCATCAACATTTAAAAAAATGAGTAATTCATGAAGCATACCAGGAGTCACGAGGACATTAGCAGGCTAAGAAACTGCTTCTACAGTCTACACCTTAAAACTTCTCTTACCAACCATCACTAAGAACTGCCAAATGCTTCACACCACAAGCTAATTGCCAAAAAAAAAAAAAAAAAAAACCAAATCACAATAACAACAAAGTTTGAAGTAAATATATAAATGATCATAATAAGGATAAGCATACATACCAGGAAAAGCTGAAACTAATCAACTCACAAAAAAGAAATACTTAACAAATGAATTTTCCTATTGCCATACTAGCTGCAGAGAAAGCTCACAGTAGAAACGAATCATTGTAATCTCCAGCAAGCATGCAACACGGAGGTGATATCTATATACACAACAAAATAACAACTCAAACATTACCCCGTAATAAATAAATGACCTAAAGAAGACAATAACGTAAGAAAAAGGTTCCTTTAGCCTGTCTCAGAAGTTTGAAGTACAATTTTTGTGGCCATGTGGTCGCTGGTATAATGGACCAAGAGATTCCATGACTTGATTTTAAGTAAATAACAAACAACAAAAAAATCTTAGGAGAAGCACTACCTGGATAGCACTTACATACCTGCAATGCACTACACCACCTTAAAACCAAATGCTTCATAGAAGAAACAACTGACACAAAAATCAACAAATAAAGATTCCATATAAGCATCAAGAAATAAACCCAATACCAGCAGAAGGAATGCAATTATGAGATGCAAACATCACACCATCCAAATTAGAACCAACATCTTAACTTCCAAAGTACATTCAAAAGTCATTTACAGTATTCAGCCTCACAAATGTAGCAAATTAGCTCTATGATCAAACAGGAATAAGACGAGACAAAAAAAAATAAAAACTGAAAACAAAGTATCAAAATATGATAGCGCAAACCTCTAACCAAATCGCAACACAAACTTGATCACCAATAAGTCAACCGCCAAGAAGCAACTACATGACCAAACAGAACAAAATTGCCAACAATAAGCAAACAATTGAGCATATCGCAACAACGAACTTGATCACTAATATTTTAACCGCAAAGAAGCAAGTCGAGACAAAGAAAATTCCAACAATAAACAATTAACAATGAAGATTACAAACCTCAAACTCCAATCAAATACCCAACCATTCACTCCTCATCGGCGCAATGAAAAATTTTCTTTGTATAATTCAGTTATCAGGTAATCAACCAAATTAGTCACTGAAAAGCACTAAGCAATAATAAAGTCCTAACAATTAAATCACTAATCAATAACAAATTATTACAAAGTCCAACTACTTCATAATCAAATTTGTTATATAATACTTTAAACTTTTACCCAATTTTTTTGGTTAATAAAGGTTTGAGGGTAATCCTTGGTAATCGTCTTTCACAGCAACAGCTTGATCATCCGAAAAACTGCAAAATTCTATGCGACAAGAGACAACACAGCAATAGTCAAAACGGAAAATCAAAACCGCTCTAGAGCTCAAACACCAATCTAGCAAACCTTTCTGAACATCTTCGTCATGCCAAACTTCAAAAATTAAACCAAAAACCTTAAATTCGAAGAAATATTTAATCAATCAGCGCCAAACCTCAATTAACTTAAACGTTTTTATTCAGCCAACTTGATCACCCGATTAATCAACCGCTAATAAGCAACTGCAAGCTCAACAAGAATCAAACCAAAAGACACCCTAATTCGAAAAAATTTGTTAATCAATTAACTAAACTGAGCAAGCATCAAATAGCGCAAAACCTATATATAGAGCCAACTTGATCACCGATTATTCAACAGCCAATATGCAGCTGCATGCTCAACACAAATCAAACCAAACAAAAAACCTAATTCGAAAAAATTGGTATTCAATCAGCTCAAATGATCAAGCGTCAAATAGCACAAACCTCTTTGATAATCAGCGAAATCAACAAACAGCCTACTTGAATAACGATTATTCAACTTCCAATAAACATGCTCTACAAAATCAAACCAAAAAACCCTAATTCAAAAAAAATGGTTACCCAAAAGCACTCCTGATCAAGCATCAATCAGGGCAAACCTTTGACAAAATTTGGCAACGAAATCAACAAAAAAACATACTGGATCACTGATGATTCAAACACCAAGAAGCAACTGGATGTTAATTATCAGACATACAAACAAATCAAACCCCAAATTCTTCGGCGGAATTAAATTTGAAAGATCACGACTTCCACAGATATTATACTGACCAATGCATAAGAAGCAGCAAATTAGGTCCATGATCAAACAAGAATGGAAGACATAACAGCAACAGCATACTGCAAACAGAATTCCAATTAAACCATCAGAAGACTGAAGTTGACAAACATCAGAGTCCCACATCCAAACTTAAGGGACCAAAGAACCTCAATCACACCATCATCAAATGTTCAACGAGTAATCAATCTACAAGTATACAATGACACCCTACTACTGTACACAATCAGGCCCATCACTTCATCATGACATGCGTAGATGCACAAGATTTTGGGTGGCCAAAAGCAATTAAGCATAAACATACACAAAACATCTGCAAGAGCTAAAGCGCCTACAGGCAGAATAAAGAAGCCAAAACCTTTGAGCAAATCTTGAAACCAAATCAGCACAAACCTTAAAGAAAATTACAACACCAACTTGATGATCAATAATTCAACTGCCAAGAAATAGCCACATGACCATATAAAAAGAAATATCCAGTAATAAGCAAACCTTTTAGCAAATAACCCACTTGATCACCAATAACTTAACAGCAAAGAAGCAAGTCAAGGCAAAGGAAATTCCACCAATAAATCAACTGATTATAAAGAATTCAAACCTCAAACTTCAATCATATACCCATCTCCTCACCACAAGGCAATTTTTTCTTTGCAAGTTCTGGTGTCCGGGTAGTTAGACATTTTAGTCACTAAAAAGCACCACTAACAATAATAATATTCGTAAAAATTAATCACTAATCAGAAATTAATTAATACCAAGTCAAACAACTACAAAAACAGATTAGTTATATAGAATTTATACGTTTACCCAATTTTTTTTGGTTAAGATAGGTTTGTGGATAATTTTTCATGTAACTGGTAATATTCACAGCTTGATTGTCCAAAAACTGCAAAAGTAGCTGCCCAAAACTCTGCAACATTTTTATGTAACAAAGAACAGTGCAGCAACAGACAAAACGTCAAATCAAAACAGCTCTAGAGATCAAACACCAATCCTGCACGCCTTTCTGATAATCAAAAATCAAACCAAAAACCCTAAATTCGAAGACTTTTATAATCAATCAGCGCAATAGATCAAACCTCTATTAACCCAAACCTTTTTATTCAGCCAACTTGATCACCAATTATTCAACAGATAACAAACTGCTGCATGCTCAACAAGAATCAAACCAAAAAATACCCTAATTGGAAAAATTTAGTAATCAATCAACTCAACTTCAAGCAACAAATAGCGCAAAACCTTTATATTCGGCCAACTTGATCACCGATTAGTCAACAGCCAATAAGCAACTGCATGCTCAACAAAAATCAAACCAAACAAAAAACCGAATTCTAAAAAATTGGTAATCAATCAACTCAAATGATCAAGCATATCAAATAGGCAAACCTCTTCAATGATCAACGAAATCAACTAACAGCATTATTCACCTTCCAATAACAACTGCATGCTCTACAAATATCAAACCAAAGAACCCTAATTGAAAAAAATTGGTTACCCATCAGCACTCCTGATCAATCATCAATAAGCACAAACCTTCGAAGAAATTCGCCAATGAAATCAACAAATAACCTACTAGACGATTCAAACACTAAGCATTAACATACACAAAACATCTGCAAGAGCTAAAGCAACATGAAGCAAAGTAAAGAAGTCAAAACCTTTAAGCAAATCATGACACCAAATTAGCACAAACCTTTCAAGAGTATTACAACAACTTGATCACCAATAATTCAACTGTCAAGAAGCAACCACATCACCAAACAAATAGAGATCTCCAACAATAAGCATACCTTTAAGCAAATAACAGCAACCTATTTGATCACTAATACTTTAACAGCAAACAAGCAAGGCAAGACAAAAAAATTCCAACAATAAATCAAACCTCAATCGTATACCCAACCATTGAATCCTCATCGCAATGTAATTTTTTCCTTGTAAGTCTCGGTATCAGCTAGATAACCAAATTAGTCACTAAGCAATAATGATACTCTTAAAAGTTAATCAGTGATCAATAATCAAATAATTTAATTAATATCAAGTCCAACTAGTCCATAATCAAATTTGTTACCTAAATAGTTTAACCAATTTATTTTGGTTAAGATAGGTTTGTGGATTTTTTTGGTGATAATAGGTAGTATTTCAAAGCGACAGCTTGATTGACCCAAAAACTGCAAAATTAAGCTGTCCGAAAATCTGCAAAATATTATGCGACAAGAAACAGCGCAGCAACAGTCTAAACGGCAAAGCAAAACAGCTCTAGAGAAATTAAAACACCAATCTTGCAAACCTTTCTGATGAAATTCGGAAACGAAATCAACAATAATTCAACCGTCAATAATCAAATTCGAAAAAATTGGTAGCCCAAACCTTTTGTATTCAGGCGACTTGATCACTGATTGTTCAACAGCGTATAAGCAACTGCATGCTCAACAAAAATCAAACCCAAAAAAATACCTAATTCGAAATATTTGGTAATCAACCAACTCAACTGATCAAGCATCGATTAGCGCAAACCTTTATGATGATTTTTGGAAACGAAATCAACCACCATCCTAATTAAACACCGTGGTCTCGAATTCCAATAAGCAATTGCATATGCTCCACAAAAATCAAACCAAAAACCCTAATTCGAAAAATTTGGTAACCAATCAGCATTCCTGATCAAGCATCAAAATAAGCGCAAACCTTTGACGGAATTCGGCAATGAAATCATCAACAAAATAACCTACTTGATCATCGATAATTCAACCGCCAAGAAGCAACTGCAGGATGATAATCATAGAAAAGAAACGACCTAATTCGTAGATATTCGCAGAAATTGATATAAAAATTAAATTGAATCGAATCAAACACCTAGTTCTTCAGCGCAATTGAATCATCAACCAAACGATCACAAATCCCGCAAATATTAAACAGATCAATCCAAAAGAAGCAGCAACAATCAACAAAGAAAACGATCAAAACCCTAAAATCATCAAACCAATTGAATGAATTAAACAGAAACCCGATCACAAATTATGCAAGACGATAAACGCAAAAACAGCGACATAGGAAAAAAAAGCGAAGAAAGACAAAAGCAGAAGACGAAGCAAAATACAAAGCATTAAAAAGACAAGGAAGAAGAGGAGGATTGGGGGTTATTTATAGGTGGATGAGGCGGTTAAGGTTTCTATATTTGACGCGCTTTCTGGAATTTTCACGCGACTTCCGAAAGTCGGTGAGTTGGATTTTTTTAGATAAGCTTTTTTTCTTTGCCTTCCACGTGTCCTTTTTCTTTATGGGCGGCCAGATGCGACTCTGACTTTTTTTTTCTAAAGATAATCTTTTTGTTTTAACTTAAGGGGAATTAATTAATTGACTTTTAAAAAAACGGAAGGTGCGCTACTTTTTTATTGGAAAAATTGATGAGAATAATTCCAATCTTTTCACTGTTTTCTTAAATAGGTTCGACATTTAGATTAACTACAAATAATCACACCTTTTACATTTATCTTCTTAAAATGATCCATGACCTATTGCGACCTAATGGTAACCTATTTAATAAGTTAATTGTACAGGTTTCTATCCTGACTAGTTATAACTTAATTAATTAAAAAAATTTAATTAAAATTTATCAGCTTTAATCAATACATAGTGAAAAAAAAAAACACCCAATGACCACCCCTGAACCACTGACCAACAAGTCCTCCACCACACCACTAAGCCACCCCCAACCCACCGAACACTATGCGACCGCCCACAAAACCCATAGCCACCCCTAAACCCACACCCAAAATCGACTGCCAAACAATTTAAACACTCCACTAAACAACCCACTGCCAAAAAAACAAAAAAATAAAAAAATCAAAGATCAAGATAAACAAATTAATAATTTCGATTCTGATCTTGAAACCCAATTTGCAAGATTAAACGTAAACCTCCTCCACAAAGTATTTAAACGCGCTAATGGTAAAATCTTAGCTACGCATCATTGGTATGCAAAGAGTGTAGTCGGACGGCTAAAGGTAAAGATTATGGGAGTTGGTCCGTACTATCAATGGAGTAACATTATTAATTACATTAATGGTTAATTTCAATTTGTTATTCTTGCTCTTGGTGGGTTTCGTCGACTTCCAAGACCACCCTGACTGCAGTTTAGGAATCCAAGTAGTATTCTTGGAAATGCTCAATTTGATGTGTAGATCAATTTGGAAGAATTTTTCACAGTAATTGTAAAAAAAATGAAGATGGCTTTGTTAAAGAATGAAGGAAGAGAGAGGACGGACGAAAGCACTATGAAGGAAAACCAACAAAAATATCTTAATCATTTTTTAAAAAAATTATTAAATATTTAAGAAAATTTGTCAAAAAAAACCTTTTAAATGCACCATTTTGCGAAAAAAAAAAACCTTTTAAAAGCTTTTTTGTAAAAGAAAACCCAAGTTAATTTTTTTTGCAAAAGACAACCTGTGCCTCTAATTCACTTAATTAAGCTCTAATTTTTTCGTAATTATCCTATAACTCTCACTTAGCCATTTTATAATTAAATTAATTAAAACCACCCTATCATCCTACCACCACTCCACCAGCCAGCCACCCTCTCCGTCTCTTCCCCCCTCCCTTGGCAGCAGCCCCCTCCCCCCAATTGAGCCACCGCCCTGAATCGCTGGTCGGCCTCTCTCCCTTTCCCCTTTACCCCCGCTGCAACCCTCCCCCTTCCCTGAACCCTAACCTCGATTATCCGCCTTCCCCCCTTAGACAGCGATGAGAGCATCAACATCGAGTGGCGGACGACGACGCGGTGGCGACTGCGAGAAAGAGGGAGAGAGAGTGAGTCAACGAGAGAAAAGGAAGAGGGAGAAGAAGCGTGCCACCTGACTGGAAACGCCCATTAATTGCTCGATGTTATTGGCCGTCAAGGTGGGTCGCCGGGAGTTGGGGGTTCAAGGCGGTGGCTCGGTTCGGGGGAGGGGGCTGCTGCCATGGGAGGGGGAAAAGGAGGGAGTGGCTGGTTGGTGGTGGGGGTGGTGGTTTTTATTGGCCGTCGAGGTGGGTGGCCGGGAGTTGGGGGTTCAAGGCGGTGTTCGGGGGAGGGGGTTGCTGCCATGGGAGGGGGAAAAGGAGGGAGTGGCTGATTGGTGGTGGGGGTGGTCGTTTTTGGGTTTTATTTATTTATTTATAAGTTAAATTAATTAATAAATGGTTAAGTGAGACTTAGAGGATAATTAGAAGAAATTAGAGCTTAATTAAGTGAATTAGAGGCATTAGGTTGTCTTCAATAAAAAAATTTCACAATTGAGTTTTCTTTTGCAAAAAAATTTAACTTCTGGTTTTCTTTTACGAAAAAGCTTTTAAAAGGTTTTTTTTCGCAAAATGGTGCATTTAAAAGGTTTTTTTTTTACAAATTTTCCAAATATTTATTACCTATAAAGCAAGCAGGTAACAAGTTAACCATACCATTTTTAGCAGACTATGACAAAAGGTTGGATTATATTGAGTTAATCAAAAGGTTAGACTATTTTGAGAAAATTCCTTAAAGGTGGATTATTCTTGTCAAATTTTCCTCTTTTGTTCCTACTTGTATTTTATTTTTATGATTATATTTGTCGTGTTTGGTAATTAGCTGGTATCTAATTGATATAAATTATTGTATTAATTAGTTTCATTGGCTAGTTAAATTAGCAAGTGGTATTTAGCTGATTGTGTAAAATTATTTGGTAGCTAGCTGTTAATTGCTAGTTGTTTAAGTGTATTTAATACCCAAAAACTTAATTGTTCAATAAGCTAATTTAAAAAAAAAAAAAAACTCTTAAAAGTCTTGTTTGTAAATTAGCTGTTAACTGGTTGATATAGCTAACTGTATTAACTAGTTTGAGTGTTTGACTAGCTAATATATTAGATGATTTTGACGTTGATTATAAATAGTTGATTGTATAAAGGTGTTTGATAAATAGATGTTTGTTGTTGGCTATTTCATTATTTAATAATAAAAAAGCCAATTTTAAAAAGCTCTTATAAAGAGCTTTTTCTATATCCACATCCTTTGGCCTTGTTTGGTAAAGAGCTTTTTGAAAAGCTTTTAGCTTATTGAACACTATTAGAGGTTTGACCAGATTAAAAAGCTAATTTTGGTGTTTGGTAAATAGCTAACTAAAAGAGCTTTTTGGCCTTAAAAGCTCTTTTAGAAAAAGCTCTTTATAAGAGCCTTTTGAAATTAGCTTATTGAAGAATTAGTTTTTTTAGTATTAAATACACTAAAACAACTAATAATTAACAATTATTTACCAAACATTTTTACACAATCAGCTATTTACAACTAGCTATTTACAACCAACTAGTCAAATCATTTAATATAATGAGCTAGTTAAATCAGTTAATATAATCAACTATATCAACCAACTAACAACTAATTACCAAACAGGGTCTTTCTCTTCCTTGTTCAATAAGCTAATTGTTCAATAAGCTCTTATAAAGAGCTTATTCTAAAAAGAGCTTTTTGACCTAAAAAAAGCTCTTTTAATAAGCTATTTACCAAACACAAAATGGCCAAATCTCTAATAATGTTCAATAAGCTAAAAGCTTTTCAAAAAGCACTTTACCAAACAAGGCCATATTGAGCTTCAACTGAAAAAGTTTTTAAGCCCAAAAAACTCTTTTAATAAGTCATTTACCAAACGGGCAAACACCTAAATAAGCTTTTTAAAATTATCAAACCTCTTTACCAAACAAGGCCAATGTAATATTTAGAGTCAATCTTGAAAACTTTGGTGACAACTCCTCATTAGTCTATACTTCAAGTATGAATTAATATGATCGAGTGGTATCTAGTTGGGTTTTTTTTTTTTTTTTTTAATTTTTTAATTTTTTTTTAATTTTAATTTTTTTATTTTGTAACATTTACTTATATATCAAATACGAAATATCCACTAGGATCAACTCTAAGACAATCAATAAAAAAAATGATAGCTCTAAAATTCACCACAAATTATCAAGCAAACAATTTACCAAGCAAAACAAACCATATGGACAATCAAGAATCAACTCCTTTATAGTGTTAGTATTACAAAGAAGGTCCAATTGGGCCAAGTTCCTTTAGGCATGACAGAAGTTCATTGTCATCTGAACTCCTACAACACACAAGTACAGTCTAAACACTAATCAACAATTGATCTTATGTTACAATCTAAAATCACCACTCATAAATTGATCTACAACAAATAAAAGAATGATCATAATTTCAATACCATTGAATTGAATCATATAATAATATGCAATGAATAGAATCCCAACCATTACAAAGAATTAAGGGTTCTTCACTTTGATTCTCAATTTTCTTGCAATTTGAGAAGCCTTAGGATGAACTGGCCTCTTGCTCGAATCACTTTGCTCAACCTCAACCCAGTTCATAACCTTAAGGATAAGTGCTTGAGGAACTTTTCGAACATCAGCATCCGATTTGCCTTTCGATTTCTTCAACCCCATTTCGAGTGCCTTCTCTATAAACTCCATAAACCAACTCCCAGCTTCTGATTCTATCTGCTTACACAACTTGATCATGCTGCTTAAGCACCCTGAATCAGCACCAGGCTGCTTGTTTTCATCATTTTCGATGTTAGTGCATTCTCCTTTCTTGTCCAAACTTGGTTTAGAATGTGACCTTAAGACCCTCCCATTATTGCTGGGTTTCTGAATTTCACTCACTCTTTCAGGAAATGATGCAATGGACTTGTACAAGGCTAATCTTCTCTTAGAGGTGCTGTTTGGTTCATTGTCGTGGAACCGGTCCATGGAATTATGTGTTATTTCGTGTAAGATTGGACCGTCTTCTTTCGTTTCTAATTTAGTTTCGAGGGTGGAAGCAGCTGCTTGAATGGACACCATGTCAGTCACTGCTTGTGTAATTTGATTTTGAAATTCCAAAAACTGATCAAAGCAGGCTGCTGGTGCATCTGCCTTTGCTGATTTGCTCAAATTCGAAAACATCCTGCAAAACAAACCCTTTAACATATTTAGTCTTTGATTATTTACATGAAGTATGTTATTGATCCAAATTTAAACTAACACTCCAAATTCAGAAGAAACTACTCTCCGATTTCCTAAAATGCCACCATCAATTACAGGAATAAGACTGAATTAGAATAACACCACTGGCAATCTATCATAAATATTATTCCATATAATCACCAAGGGTTAGGACAATATAACAACTAATTCCGGACAAAGGGACTTAGGAGTACTAATTTAATGTCATAACTCTCATCAAGGGTTAGGACAATATACCAACTAATTCCGGACAAAGGGACTTGGGAGTACTAATTTAATGTCATAACTTATCAATCCGTACAATCACTATACAAGGGGTTAGGACAATGTTACAACTAATTTTGAGCAAAGTAGTACAAAATCAGTGTGAATCTTACTTGAGGCAGCGGACAACATTGTCTGTTGCGGTAGACTGTCTTAACGCCTGAAACGCAATCTTTTGAGCTCGTTCTCTCTGCTGAACGGCTTCCTGATATGCAAAAAAAGACACAGCAAAAACAGTCAGAGCTGAACAAGAACAAAATTTTCACTTCAATCAACAGTTAAAGATCAAAACAACTTACTTTGCCAAGCATAGCAAGCTTTCCTGGTAAATTTACTGATAAACTTGTGCCACTGTTAGAATTAAAGGTTGGGTTACTAGACTGTGATTGCAACTGTTGTGGGGTTGCCTTTGAATTGGCAGAATTCTGCACATTTACTGCTGAATTCGCACAACCCCCATCTCTCCTTAGACTTGGTGGAGGTGTACAACTTTTCTTTTCCTGCATAATTACAATCAATATATCAGCAATTTGCACATTTATATCTCACATAGTCAACATTTTACGGGTCTATTCGATATCGTTGTAAGTTTTTAGTTTTATCACACAACCTATAAAATCGAAAACACGAAAATTGAAAACAAACAATGATACACGACGTAACACTAAACTCGAAAGAGCAATGTACCTACAGATATATTAGGAGTGGAAGCAACCTTTGGCCCTCTTTCATTAACACTTTTACTCCTTGGAAACTTCAAAGTAGTGGGTGTCACACAACTTTTCCTAACCAAACCAGGACTTTCACCCCTTGAGTCAAACTTTGAAGACAGCAAATTACCCCCAACAGAAGCCCTAATTCCTGAATTACAATGATCTTTTACCATTTTTACTGATCTAACCATAGGAGACATTGGAGGAGGATGAAATTTTACTGCACTACCCTTTTCTTTCATTGGAGTACATTGATCAAAATCTAAAGGAACAGGTTTTAACTTTGGAGAAGTAACAATATTTCCATCAAACCCATTATTTTGATTCAATTCCCAAGAACCTCTTCTTGGTGTTCCATTGATCACCACTTTTTGCTCAGTTTTTTCTTTCTTTCCTCTAAGACCCATCAAAGGTTCCGGAGTACCCATAAAAGGGTGTCTACCCGGTATCGGCTTAGCGCCTTTCGCTACTGGAACAGGCGATCCAGGCTCCAATTTCTCCACATAAATGAACTGACCAAGCTGCATTTTATTGCTTAAAACAAGATCATCTTGCTCATAAGGTAGGCTGACATAGATGGAATGTGAAGAATCAGATACTTTGATGTAGAATCCATGTTTAGGCCATAGATTCTTCTCATCGAGCTCGGCCGGTACGATATCGGTCACCTGAAGAAGTGAGCTCCGGTGCTCGCCCGTGGGTTTCACCCCTGTTTTTTAAACCATCAACAAGTTTTACTAGAACTCCTGGTGCTAATGTTGCCATTATTCAACCAAGAAACTAAAGAATTGATCAAAGTATGCCTTAAATTAGGAAACTTTAAAGGTTAATTCACAATTTAGAGTACTAAATTGAAGAATTTAATCAAGAAACAGGGCAAATCAAAGATGGGTTTTTGTGATTTTTTAGAAAAATTGAAAATTTGGGGTTTTAGAAAATCTGTTGTTCAAATGATCTATAAAAATTTAGGTGTTTTCAGAGGATTAAAAGTTTACGTTAATGGTGACAAAAGTAGTAAAATTTTTGTTTTTTTGTTTTTTCTTTTTTTCTTTTTGTTGGGGAAGATGAATTAGGTGGTGAGAGTAACGGTAAAGAAGGCAGATGAGAGAGAAAAAGAGAGCGTGAGTAAATTTAAAAATGGTTTTAGAACGTTGCCGCAACGGTCACATGTCGAGCGGTGAGAGGGTTTCGGGTCATGATTCTATTTGATTATTATATTGGAGCTGCTTATGTTAGTTGTTTTTTGGCTAACCTTTAGGGGCCGTTTGGTTTGCTGTAATGGGGAAAGAGAATGGGAATGATTCTCTTTGTAAGCGTTTGTTTTGCAACTTTTGTCATTCCTTTTCTCCATTTTTATTTCTGGGTTTACCCATTTTTATTCCACCCCCATTCCCCACCCCCCTAACCTTTACCATTCCCCAACCACCACCATACCCACATCCCACCAACCTCGCCGGATGGTCGCCGGCTCTTCCTGACCTTGGCTCCACCTTCGTCGGCGATCCCCGACCTTCGCTCCACCTTCGCGGCACTCCCTCGACCTTCGCTCCACCTTCGCGGCACTCCCTCGACCTCGCTGCACCTCCCCCGACTTCGCTCCACCTTCGCCGACACTCCCTCGACCTCGCTGAACCTTCCCCGACCTTCGCTCCACCTTCGTCAGCACTCCCTCGACCTCACTGCACCTCCCCCTGCTTCGCTCCACCTTTGCCGGCACTCCCTCGACCTCGCTGCACCTCCCCAGACCTCGCTCCACCTTCATCGGCACTCCTCCGACCTCACTAGTCGCCGCCGGAATTCCAAACTACCAATTTCTAGAAAAAAAAAGTCAAAATAATACCCTAAATGGTGGTGCTATGGTGGTGGTTCCATGGAATCATTCCCTTTGTTTTTTTTTGTTTTTTAACAAACAACGCCCTAAATTTCAAGGGTTTCATTCCATTCTCCTCCAAACCCTTTCCCCATTCCATTCCGATTCCACTTTGCAAACCAAACGACCCCTTAAATATGCGGGAAATGAAAATTTATGGGAATTTGCAAATTGGGTAGTTGTTTGGTTAACAACAAAAAATGAAAATGGAGGAATTGGAAATTCATGAAAATTTTGACTTCCCACAAAACATGGGAAGTTAATTACCTACCTCCTCCTTGGTCACTCAAAATTTCCATAAATTTCAAATTCTTTTATGAGAACCAAACAACTAACAGTCATTTTCTAGAAATTGTATGAAGGAAATAAATTCCCATGAAATACAAATTACCATAGGAATTTAATTCCTATATTAACCAAACAAGCCCTTAGTTTGTTGAGCTTTGGCTTTATTTTTGACTTTGCTTAGGTTCTAATTAGGGAAAAGTAATCCCACTTAAGATGAGCACTGGAAAATGTGTAGTAATTTTATGTTTCTTTACTTTAATTATTTTGTGACTTGGATTAATATACTACAACAATAACAAATCATTAGTGCCAAAATGATTTAGGATTGACTAAACATTAATTGTTGGAATCGTACAATATAAAGGAAGGAACATAACAAGATAATCGTTTGAAAGAGTTTGATGACTCGGAGTAACATAAAAAAAAATTGTAATTAATGTAGTTTAGTCAGAAATAAATTATAATGTGTCTATATTACCTCCTTCGAACTTCGATGGTTCTCACCACATACAAATATAATAAACGATCTTTGATAGATGTGTAATTTGTACCAATAAAAAAGTGTAGTTATTATGTTATGACTAACCTATTTGTTATGTTAAAATGTGGTGGTAGAGCTAGAATTTTGAAGACAGGGTGTCAATATTATGTCTATTGTATTAGTAAATAACCTTTTTAACTAGAAGCAATAATATAGATTCATTATGAAGTAAGTCTAACAAAAACATGACCATCCTTATCCATTGCAAGAATCAGTGAATGTCAACGGAATGGAAATGGTATACATATGCCTGCTAACTTGCTAAGTCGTTGAGAAGAAATATGTTTAGGTTGTGTCAACTACACAATAAGAATTTTTATATTGAACAGGTTTTAGACAACTAACCACGTTTATTCAACTAATTGAAAAATAGTCTCTTCAAACTATTCATAATATACAGAATATGTCAAATACAATAGTTGGCAAACAGTCTAGCAAACTTTGTTGATTTGTTATGAGCCTAATTTAGGTAAAATATTTGTTCATCTACCCCTTTCCAAATTAAAAGGATTAAGTCAACCACTGGACAACTTCAATAATAAGCACAGAAATAACAGATTATCAACAGTCCTCTATTGTACATTCCAACTAGGGAGAGGAGATTCTCAGACAGATCAATTAGTACATGGATTCTCAAGCCTATCGTACATTTGTACAGTAGTGCAACACTTCGTGCACGGAGCAGCCCAATTTTTATTTGTCTCTAAGTACCCTTCACGACTATTACGAGTATTAGGTTTAGCAAATATCAAGTATCAGGTGCTAAAATCCAAAATCTGGATCGAGTACCCTACGTGTGCATTAACACTACTGACTATAATCTGACCTTTACGGATTTGATATACAATCTCAAAAAGCTCGTTTAATAGCTTTGCCTGTCCTTATTAGGAGGCAGCCCTCGGCATAGTATCAAGTCATCAACACATGTGATGCACATAAATAACCTGCTGGGAGGGGAAGCTGAGCAAAAGCTTTCAAATCAACACTCAGCAGTAAAATGATTACAGGATGATGTTTTTATTTTTTCTTTGAAATTATTTTGAGAAAAAAGGGATGAGAACAAGTCAACAAACCAAATCTTTACATGATTGAAATCTTTCTCCAAAATTCAGTGCTAACAAGCAGCCTGCTAGCAAACACCAGGTTCAGATTGTATTAAAAGTTCAAAATCTCAAAAATATATGATTAACCTTCTCGCTTTGTCATCCAAAGGTGTGGTGTAACTAAAAAGACACCAATTCATACATCCACCATGTCCACTACTGGATTCAAATTGAAGGCCTTGCTATAGAGGAGTAGCAAATCCTGTCACCAAAGATAGGAAAAGAGTTTATGCAAAGTACAGCAATATACCATCCAAATGAAGAAAACATATTAACTTTAACAATGGCATTGAGTTTCAGCTTTGCTTTCTTTTGTCTACATTATCTTTTTTTTGTAAGGTTTTGGAGAAAAAAAAAAAGGGGGAGAGGGGGATAGAGTAGACAGGGGAATGTAAAAGTACTTAAATTGGCAGTAATTACACAAACAAAGATGTGCCATGAACCAAATTAAAAACTGAGGTCCTCCTATAATACTTGAGCAGCACGTGAAATGGTCAGTACAAACTACAAAGGGAATGAAATTGTAGAAATAATATGCATTTACACTGCATTTTATCTGATTTTCAAGCAGAAGTAAAAAGTATTTTGCTTTCTTTAGTGGAGTCTCCTAATTTCTAATTTGAAAACAATGTCTCAAGTGTTAAAAAATGAGATCATTACTACTCCATAAACACATGGACAATATTCAAATTTAGTGCTTCAAGCAGAATTTCATTTTGCGTAAATCAGTTGGGTTCTTCTCTTCTTGATTTTGAAATTGTCCATCGCTTAAAGTCTCAAACTAATATCTAAACAGTACCTCACCAAACAAGGTATACCTTCCAGATTTAACTCATTAGACAATCCTTACAGATTAGAGCCAAACCCAACCTGAAGTAGCTATATATATGCTATTTCCTTGGAATCTCCTATCCCAGCACAAGAAGAAAGAGGCTAAAGTTATGAACTAAATATATTATAATAAATCTCCAAGGTAAACCGATAAAATTTGAGAGTCGATTTTCGAGTTATAGACTATCCATGACAAGCTATCAGTCCTAGAAAAATCATAGGTCAAGATGACAAATTTGATTAAAAAGATTTTCATTACAAAAGGTGGTTGAAAACACTTCATCACAGCATATGGTTGAAAAGGCTTTCATTGCCCCACCTAAAGTAGCTTCACTCTCACCACAGCCTCAGAGATAATAATGCCTAATTTGATAACATGCTTTCTGATAATGATGATCTAATATAGCATCCTTGGAACCCATTGGTGTTGTCAGAGCTCTCATTTCCACAAGTCTACCAAATGTGAAGTTCAACTTCAGAAAGTAAAAAGTGATTATACTATCCATCCTAAAGGTGAAAGGCATGAAATAATAATGCAACAGCAGCAATTAATATTACACAGTTGGGTCATTGGGTGTTGATTCCATGAAATTAAAGTCTGTCATGATCAAACTCATTGAAAGTCAAAAATCATAACAATGAAACACAAAGCACTCGACAAGGGAAGAGAATTATAAATTTATAATAACATAAAACAATGATACAGCATGTTTCCAGACAAAGGACAGGCTGGGTGTACATAAATCATATTAGCTAATAACTATTGTAGATATTGCCTCTGTTAGCACTCTGTCTCCCTACAGCCACAACATGTAATGTCAGGAAAAATAGAAAGAAACCCTTTATTTTATTTTATTTTTTCTTTTGGAGTTTCTACCCTCACTAGTACTCTAGTAACACTTAGCCCAGCATCTTCCCAACACAAGCCACAAAAGAAAGAAAAGCCCTTCCATGCCAAAGGTCTCCGAAGCAAAGGAAAGATCAAGACATGCTAAGATCTGGATTCGGGAACAAAAAGCTAGCATGTTTGCACTTTTGATTCCACTAGCTATTGAACAAACTCCAGTTCCCCCACTATTAATCATTAGAGAGAGCTGCTCATTGTTTCCTCTACTAATCAGGCATCAGTTAATACCACAAACCACAGAAAGATCAAATTAAGTAGCAAGTACATGGTGATCAATCTCAGACAAGCATATCAACTGAAGCTTGTTATCCAAACTCACTCTGGAGATGCCTCGAATTTCAGACACAAAAATGCAACAAAAATCATATCACTAATATCAGGCCACTCTATGGGACTTTTAGCAGACCCTAATCAAGCTGATTGGTTGAAGATTAAAAACATAGTCTTTAACCCTACCCCAAAGACATTTAGTTCTACACCCAACAGAACCATACGCGCAAAAATCACCTCAAAGTATGGAAGAGAAATTCTTTAACCACCACCTACCCATGAGGCTTTAAAATTAAGCTGTAGTTCAGGGAAGGACCAATTTTCCCAGCTGTTTGAATGATAGCACTCACAGGATATTTAGAGTTCAGACTGACCTAGACGATACTTGAAAATAATCATTAAAAGTGCTATTAATGCAATAAAAGCTCTGATCAAGAATTTTGTATCATCAGTTTAAAGGCGTACTAGTAATCTCATTTACAAAGTGAAAACCTATTAGTAAACCACATATCATATACTAGTAACAATACTGATAACCCATCTTTAGAACAGCTACAATCGACATCAAAAACATGTTAGAAAATAGAATAATCATACTAACAAACTACTAATATAAATAAGAGCGTGCTGCTGAGAAATATACCTTCAGAAAGACAACCCCAGCTCTGTGCATGCAGTGATAGCAAGGAATTGAACAAGGCAGAAGCAGTAGCACTATGCAAAGGCATTAATGATACGGCACAACCCAACTCCACTGGAATCCTATATCCACATAGTCTATTGATTAGCACATGATTAACCCTCAACCAAAGCTCCAACCATCAATTAAGCAACACTTAAATATCAATCATCCTATATCTGCATATAATGATTCAACAAAACCCAACTCCACCAAAATCCTATATCTGCATAGTCACTAGATAAGCACATAATTTGATTTACCCTCAACAAAAACTCAAATCATCAATTAAGTAACACTTAAATAACAATGCACAAAATTTCTTCTACATAGAAGCAAAAAATCTACACAACAGGATCAGAGATGGAGATAATTTGCCTACGTATTAGGTTCATAAAACAATCAATATGTCATCAAATTGGTAATTCACAATGATAATCTAACAAATGAATCTTGTAAATGCACAGAAAACGCAACAATTAATAATATTCACAAAAAATCAATTACCCTTGATACAATTACAATCCGAATAAGCAATCAAGCATCCAAACTAAATCCCCAAATTATAATTTTTAAATTATAGATATCACAATAAACAATAATCAACAAAAAAATGCAATCTTGAAAAACAGATACAAATCACACAAATGGTAATAATAAGCTATCAAATTACAACAGGAAATCAACCAATTTCATAAATTCATCATAAAACTCAAATGAACATAACACAATACCAAAATAAATACAATCTAAAGCCAAAAAATATTACCTAGAAGAAGTGAAAAGCTTCTGGAAAGAACGGGGGTTTGAAGAGGATGTAAAGCCAGGCAACTTGGAAGCTCGTGAAGAAGAATTGGAACCGCAAAGTTTGGAAAGGGCGTTTCGTGTAGCTAAGACAGAAGAAGACTGTAGGGCTTGTCTTGCTCTTCCACATACACTCGCCATTGCTCAATTTTCTACGCTCAGTTTTGAGACTTTCAGAGTTCAGTATGCATCAGTGACGGGCTCTATACTTGGATTTTTGACAAATTAGGGTGAAGAGATAATGAAATGGTTTGTTTATTATTGATCAGGTAGATTATTAATACAAAATCTAAGCTTATAAAAATAGAAACAATCTTCTTAAACGATATACTAGCTTAACGATAAATGTTAAACATATATTTTCTAAATAATATTAACATAAAATAAATCTAAATATATTATTCTTTGGAATTTACGAAAAATATATCACACGCATATTTTTCAATGGAAAAATTGCCAAAAATGATCTCAACTTTGCTCCGTTCGCTCAAAATAATCCCAACTTTCAATTATTTTTTAATAATTCCAACTTTATACTCCATCCGCCCAAAACAATCCCAATTTTTCATCCAACTTGTTATTACAAGTTATCAAACACGTGTCATTTTATTATTGGTTAGAAAAAATTTAAAGCAAAAAAAAAAAATCAAAATAAACTCACAAAAATAATAATAATAAAAAAAAAAAAAAAAAACCAAAGCCTTGAACCCAGCCACCCTCACTGCCACACACCCAGCCCAACTCCCTGCCTCCAAGCGCCGATCGCCGCCCAGACACCCTCCCCCTCCCTCGGCGCCAGCGTCGCCCCGACCACCCTCCTGAAATGCAAGCCTTTACTATTTGATTTCGTTTTGGTCATAGTTGCCCATTGTTCATATAATCGATTAATTTTATAATTTCACTCACATTCTGAATTAGTGTAGAAAAGTCTAAACTCCATGTTGCTGCCATATATTTTCCTTCATATCACTTGATTAATCTGGAATAATTGTATGACATCAATTGAGCATTTGAGCTTCAATTTACTTGAGCAATTAAGATATCTCGACCAGTTGCGTTTCTATATATCACTTCAGAGAGCTTCGACCAATTGAACTCTCAAGTCGACATATGCTCTCCTATAAGGTGGTCCTGCGCCGAAAAGGGGAGGGGGAGGGGGTGGCGTCGGCCGGAGGGGAGGGCCTAAGGGCGGTGCTAAGGGGTGGTGGTGGTTTTTTTTTTTAATTAATTAGTTAATAATAATAATACTAATAGTATTAATATTAATAAAATAGTATTAATATTAATAATATTTTTTATTATTTTTGGCCAATCACATGGTGACATTTGTACATTAAACCTAAAAAAAAATTACTTGTTTAACAAGTCACCGGTCACTTGGGACTGTTTTGAGCGGTTTAAGCATAAAGTTGGGATTATTAAATAATAAAGTTGGGATTATTTTGGGCGGACGGAGCAAAGTTGAGATTATTCTTGACAATTTTTCCTTTTTCAATATCTCATATCTCTAATGATTTTAGAGATGAGTTACGGCCTACGGGTGCGCAAAATTGGACCTAGACTGGAAATCGGACCTGAATGAACCTTTGATGCAATAGGTCTTAGCTACATCCTACAACACGCTCTATAAAATGTACATTTAGTAAAAAAAATTATGGAACACGTAAAAAAAATGAACATTCAATAATAAAAAAAAATGAACATATAAAAAAAATGAATACTAGTATTTATTTAGTATTAAAAAGTGAACATGTTTAAAAAAAAACTTAGCAACTAGTATATTAAAAATGAATATGATTATCATACAATCATATTATTGCTGAACCACGACCTTAACATGAACATTTAGTAAAAATTAACTATGAACATGTAAAAAAAATGAACAATCAGTAATAAAAAATGAACACTTACAAAAATGAACATTTAGTAATAAAAAGTGAACACAAAAAAAAAATGAACATTTAGTTTATTAAAAATAAACATTTATCATACAATCATAGAATAGCTGGAGCATAATAAAATGAACATTTCATAAAAATATATGAACACATTAAATAAAATGAACACGTCAAAAAAAATTATGAACATTTACTATATTAAAAACAAGCACGATTTTCATACATTCAAATAAGTTCAAATTCATTGTATGAAATTATTCACGAAAAATAAATATTAAATAACTCGTTAAAATATGTTTATTTTTTATGTATTGAATGTTCATTTTTAGTGTACAAAATGTTTCTTTTGTACTAAATGTTCGTTTTTAAAGTACTACGAGTTCATTTCTTTTTACCGAAATATATACAAATTCGATTGTAATTGTTTTAACTCTAAAAATTTGAAAATCCACCTTAAATCTAATCTTGGTTAGTTCATCATAGAGAAAATAATTATCAATCTTTAACATGATAGATTAGGAATAAAAAAAATAAAAAAATAAAAAAAGAGAGAGAGGGGAGAGAGAAAATTACAACTCCCTCGTCCCATATTATAGTTCATGCTATCCTATTTTGGAGACCTAAAATGTTGTTCCTATTTCTATTTTTGGATAGTATGTAAAGACCATTGTACCCTTATTTTAACTTTATTCATTGAATTTCCTAATTTACCTTTAAATTATCCACTTGCCTTGTATTTTTTTACCATTTCTCTCTGTAACTTTTGTCTACAATTGTACTTTTCACTTTTTTCCCCTTAAATTATCCACTTGACTTGTACTTTTGTCTAACTTTTTTCCACTTTTAATGTACTTCATCCACTTTCTCCTCCAATTTCTTAAATACCGTGAAAAAACACAAACAGGAATTATACTTAGTATTTAAAAACATAAACCAAAGCTGCCACATGTCCTCCTTTCCTTCTACCTTTTCCTATAATCATTTTTTTCCTTATTTCAAAGAACTTCTCTTCATCTCCCCTCTTTATTTCTCAATAACTCTTTATATTTTTTAACCTCTATTTTAATTCAACATATTGAATTTCCTAAACCTTCTCCTCTTCTCCCTACATCTTTCAATTCAATTTCCAACATTTGTCATTCAATTTACCGACCCCTTATCTTCCCTAATCTTTCTATATAAATAATATACAAAAAAAAAAAAGAGAAATATCTCTCAAAACTTTATGTAAACGTTCTACAACAATGAAGATGATGATTGAAAAAGAAAAAATTGAGGTTTCAAAGAAGGAAGAGTTAAAATAAAAAAAAATGAAGAATTTCAACAATATTGCTTACATGTCACGAGGCCTTTATTTTCAAAATATTAAGCGCACTATAAGGTCACTTGTCTTTTTTTGTTTTTTGATTAATTTCGTGTGGGGCCACCAAAAAAATAAACATACAATAATTATTCAACATAAAATTGCAAAAGTTATGGTGAGATTAAATGTTAGCCAATGATCTTCTTACACGTGTCATTTTCTAGAAGAGTTTTATTCTATCAGTAAAAATATTACCGTTTTAGTGTAAACGGCAATTTTGTATACAGTAAATTATTTTTTTAAAAAAAAAACAAAAATTACCAATGGAAAAAAAAAATTCTTTATAAGTAGACATCTATTTTTCCATATTTTGATATAGATGAAAATATCATTTTTCACTCTTTAAATTCCTTAACTGTATCATTTAAGTGTTTAATAAAATTTTATCCCCTAAATTTTTGTGTTATTTTGTTCCCTTTTTTAAAAGTAAAAATGGATCCTAATAATAATCCCAATCGTTCACAAAATGTGAACGACTTTGATCCTTCATCACTTATGAATCATCCACAATTTTTTTAGTTTTTTCAAATGTATGGAGGAAAATTTCCACAACAACCACCTCTAGAAGAAACGACTCCACCAACTCACCAAAACAACCAATCTCCACAAGTCTATCAAGGAAGTAATAGTCAATTCATTAGTGATAAAGAAGAAACCGTTCTAGAGACACCACAGTATCCCTCATAGCGAAATAAGCCAATTCTAGTTGCAACAAACACCCGTGATTGGTCTGTTAAAGAAGAAGAAGCTCTAATTGAGGCTTACTTCAACAATTGCACAGACGCAATTATTGGCAAAGATAGAAAATTTGCTGACCTTTGGAGAGATATACATCGAGAATATCATGCGGCTCATCTATCTCGACCACATGAGATTCTAGAGCAGAACAAGAACATGTTGAAGACTCATTGGAGGAGGATGGTTGCCGACCTACTCATCTGGGCAAGTGTTATGGAAGAAGGTTGTAACATAACGGGAAGTGGGTACAATGATAATGATGTGGTAAAAAATGCCCATGAATTGTTTAGAAGGTCTTTTCAAAATTCACCTAGGAATTTTAAATTTCAATATGCGTGGGGAAAGGTGAACGAATATCCAAAGTGGTGAAAGTTCATGAGGTGGGGTCTGAATAAGGAAGAAAGGAAGAAAGTTGATGCTGAACACAAGGCGGAAAAAGAAGTTGAAGAGAGCAGCGGTAGTGGTAAAAGAACTAGAGACGATGCTAGCTACTAGTTGCTTTGTATCTGGAGGTATAAGTCGCCTTGGTGGTGTTAAGAAAGCCAAGGCCAGAAGAAAAGGCAAAGGGGTAGCATCAGAAGATTTGACTGTTGTTGGTGAACAGATGAAAGTTTACAATGATAAACGCAATGTTGAGGTTACCCTTAAACAAGAGAAACTTGATTTTGATATGCAAAAGGAAATGAGGAAGCAAAGACAACTAGAGTTGGAGGAGAAAAATCTCCAAATGCAACAAGAGAAGATGGAGGTAGATAAACTGAATCGAAAATTCGATACATTGCAAGTGTTGTTGTCTATAAGACATCGCTTAGCGAAATAGAAGAGATGTTTAAGCAGAAATTACTCGAGGAACTGTACGGGTAAAAATGAACACTTAGTATTTTGGCTTGTCCTTGTGTAGTGATGTTTTTTATGGTATTGTGTAATCTTATTTCCTTAGTATTTTGGCTTGGCATTGTGTAGTGTTTTTTTTTTATGGTACCATGTAATTTTATTTATGGCATTGTGTTGTCTTGTTTCTGACATTATGTAGTCTTGTTTATGACATTATGTAGTCTTAATTATGACATTATGTAGTCTTATTTATGACATTGTGTAGTCTTATTTATGTCATTGTGTAGTCTTATTTTGATATTGTGTAATCTTTATGGTACTCTGTAAATCTGTAATGCATGTTTTATGGCATTGTCTAGTCTTTATGAAAATGTAATGTCATTTTCACAATGAAATGTGTGCCTCCTAATAGTCACATCTATGTCATTTGTTGTCACTGTGTAGTCGTAATCACCTTAACATTGAAAATTTCTATACCAACTTTCTGAATCATATTATATGAACAAATGTGCCTCATTCATTCTATATAAAGACTATGTGAAGGGTTTGCAATACACATTCAAAACATCATCCACATAAATTTACTAAAATTAACACAAATATTGTTCTAAAAAAGCTCTTCAAGCTCAAGTTCTTCATCTGATAGTAATGAAGAATTTCACCAAGTTATTGACGACCTTGTCAATAATCACTTACCATCTAAATTGTACTCAACACCTCCACATCGAAATCAACGTAATAATACAAATGCTCATGTTATGGTTCAAATGGATAGAAATCATGAACAAGGGCATAACCAATTAATCAACGACTACTTTGCGGATCCTCCAGTATATAATGAGATTTAGTTTTGCTGGAGGTTTTGGATGAAATGACCTCTGTTTTGTTAGATTATGAATAAGATTGTGGAAAATGTTGAGTTTTTCGAGCAAAGGTGAAATGCATTTGGGAAGTCGGGGTTGTCTGGACTCCAAAAATGCACGGCAGCGATGAGAATGTTAGCGTATGGGGTGGCTCCTGACGCAGTTGACGAGTATCTACGTATGGGTCAAACAACTGCACGGAAATGTTTAAAATATTTCTGTGAAGGGGTAATCAAGGAATTTGAAGCTGAATATTTACGAAGCCCGACGGACGAAGACCTACAAAAGATCCTTTATAGAAATGACCAACGAGGTTTTCCAGGGATGATTGGCAGTATTTTTTTTTTTTTGATGCAAATGAGGGGCAGAACCCAAACAAAACAGAACAAAAGCAAAAATAAAAATAAGAAAACTAATTGGGAGCTAGACGTGGCATAGCCACCCCAACAACATCATCATACAAAATTCTACCCAATGGTAATGGGGGGACTTGAATCAACTCGATCATGTTGTTCTGATAAACTCCCTGATTGGCTAGCCAATTTGCCGCTCTATTCGCTTCTCTGTAAATGTGATGTACTTCCACTTTCCATTTCGTATCCGCTAGCATCTCTTTACATCTGTTTACGATATGTATACTCTCACCTCTATAGGTGCTATCCCCCCTCAAGGCCTGTACTAGAGCCTGACTGTCAACTTGTACTTGTAATTTCGAAGGGTCAAGTCTTGCTGCCAAGTCTAAGCCAAATTCCACCGCACGGGCTTCGGCCATAAATGCATTGCATGATCCAATTTTGAGAGAAAAGGCATATACTAGTTTTCCCGTACAATCTCAGATTACTCCTCCTCCTCCAGCTGGTCCAGGGGATCCCTTCGCACCCCATCTGTGTTAAGAGCTAGCCAGCCTTGAGGTGGTCCTAGCCATTTGACAAATATCTCACTTCTTCCCCTAGATACAAGGCTATTGGAGTTTCCCCCATCCCCTAGCACTCTCCAGGCTTCTTCAAACTTTGCAAGTAAGAATTGTCAGGCATCAATGGGGTTATCATTGCTTCTACCAAATATGATATTATTTCACCACTTCCATATCCACAAGCATACTATAGCAAAGTAGATTGGCCAAATTTCAGGGGAATGATCGTTTCTAACCTGGATTTTTATGTTACGAACAATCCATTGCTTCAGAGTCCCCTCTTTGAAACTTCTTATACTCGCAGGACCCCCTATTTGGTTCCATATATCCTTTGCCATGGTGCAATCCCGAAGCAAGTGAAGCGTAGTGTCATCCTGGCTATTACAAATTTTGCATCTGGGATCATCCGTTAGATTTCTCATAAACCTGTTAACATTTGCCATTTGTCATGATTGGCAGTATTGATTGTATGCATTGGGAGTGGAAGAATTGCCCAAATGCATGGAAAGGTCAATTTTGCGGACGAAATAAGAACGCAACCCTCATTTTAGAAGCAGTTGCAGATGAAGATCTATGGATATGACATTCTTTTTTCGGTATTCCAGGTTCTTGTAATGACCTTAATGTACTTTACCGTTCACCAGTTTTTACTGATGTTTTTGCAAGGTCGAGCACCTCCAGTGAAGTTTAATGTCAATGGCCATGAATACAATATGGCTTACTACCTAGCTGATGCTATTTATCCGAGTTGGGCTACTTTTGTGCAAGGATTTACCAATCCTCAAACTCATAAGCATATGCTTTTTGCTGAACGCAAGCTGCTGCATGTAAAGATGTTGAACGTGCATTTGGTGTCCTACAAGCGAGGTTTGCAATTGTACGACAACCAGCTCTTGCTTACGATGAAGATGTGCTAGCTGACATTGAAGGCTTGTATAATAATTCATAACATGATAGTAAAGGATGAACGAGATACTTATAAGAATGCTGAAGTAACAAGAAGATATTACGAAACAGATCGCCCAATGTCACGTCTAGGAGGTGAAGCTAGTACAAGTGGCACCATGAATAATGATGATACATTTCAGTTTCAAACAGGGCGTCCTATCGACATTAATAAATACTTGGAAATAAGGGATGCTATGCGTAATATACGAACTCATCAATCCTTGAAAGATGACTTGATAGAGCACATTTGGGAAAATTTTGGTGACAATAATCCTTAAAATCTAATGACGCTTTAATCATCATGTATCGTAATCATATTTCACTTTTAAATGTAATGCATTTCTAGTTTTATTACTTGTGTCTTACAATAATCATTATTATTTAATTAGTTCGTAATTAATTAAAGTCACAATTTTAATTAATTACAATTTTAATAAAAAGTACTAAAGCTACTGTAGCTTATCTACAGTAAAATACCGACCCTGCCCTTGGTTGCTTTTCATTTCTCCCTTTTCTTTTTCCGGGCTCTTTCCCAAATTAATGTCAAGAAGTACCGCAATTCCCAAACTACAACCACTTCCTTTTATTTTCCCATTCTACCGTCCACATAAGCATTGGTTAAAAAACCAGTTTTTTTTTTTTTTTTTTTTTTTTTTTTTTTTTTTTTTTTTTTCCGGTCCAGGGTAAACCGCTACTTCAAGTAGCGGTTTCTGTGCAATAAACCGCCACTTCAAGTAGCGGTTTCTTTACAAAAAACCGCAATTTGATGTGGCGGTTTACATTGAAAAACCGCTACTTCAGGTAGCGGTTTACCCTGGACTGTTTTTTTTTTCAAACTTAAATAATCATTCAAAAAAAAACCTGCAAGTGTACCTGGGTACCTGTAAAACATATATATAGCATATTTTCAACACAACCACCACAAATAACAAGTTTATGAAGATCTAAGGAAGTCCAAATTGCAAAGTCGAATATTTTTCAATTGATTAAATATAACAAAATCCAATTCTAAGCATTTACAAAAAAATTAGTTTAGTTCCAAAATATACACTTAGCTCGGGTGTTTCTTCTTCCCATGAGGTGACGATGAAGATGATGCAGCTGTCTCCTCCTCTGGAATGTCATCCAGGCCAACTCTAACCCCAGACGTAGTGTTGCTACGCCGTCGGTTTCTTTGATACTGGCGATGCACTAGTGGAGGAGATGTCATGATAGTATGCTGAGAAGGAGGAGGTTCATGCAAGGGAGGGCGAATGTGAGTCGGTGGACGGAAGGCACGTGCTGAATGGCCTCCACGATGAGGTGGTGGTCTGATCGGCCTAGTGTGCACAGTAGAAGATGAAGACGTGGACGGTCGAGGCTGCTGAATAAGGTGTGATTGCCCCACCCTAGACAAGGTCTGCCCACAAAATGATGTAAGACCCTGCATCGTCTGTATGGCAAATGGTATAGCCGTCTCTGGTGGCAAATGGGAGATGGTCTCAGTAGCTCCCGATAGCTGGACGTGCAAATCAGCAAATGCATGTGCCTACATTGAAGTGTAGTTTTAATGTTAGTAAAATGAAATCAAAAACGAAAGAACTAGATTGAAATGAAATGAAGTTCATACAAGCAGTAGGTCAGAGGTAGTTGGCTGGTAATGACTCGGGGGGCGCTCCTGCGAAGGTGGAGTAATGACCAGTCTCGTTTGCGACGGTACCGAGCCATGTACTCTGTCATGGCCGGGGAAGAAGTCCCAGTGAACGGGTATCCCTGGACGACTAATGCCTCTCGTCGACTCCACTCATGTACATGGTCCGAATGCCGAATATCCCAATTACGCTGTCCCCTTCGATCCTTCCTGTGTAGAGCAACGTCCGTGTCTACATCCTGTGGGATCGTCTGCTCTAACCCGAACTGACGAAGGACTCGGTCTGGGAGGTGGAACTCAACGACGTCAAAGCATATCAGAGGTGCCCGTGTACGCCAAATGTGCATGTCTGAGCGACAAATCTCCGGAAGTCGATCCATCACCGCCTCAGTATATGGCTGCCAAATCATCTAATTCCCAAAACAAGTATGTCAACATGTATATGACTAACATAATGGAAGAAAAATAATGCACAAAAAAAAAGAAACACCGATTGTACCGGGTCCTTGCGCTGATGGTCAAATGCATCTCTGTAGTATGGTAGTCCAGAAGCAATATGCGCACACGATAGATGGACACGTTACCACCTGTAAAGATTCATTAATAATAATTCTTGAGAGATAGAACTGTAAGAACATGAACTTGAAGCAAACACTGTACCTGCACGCCAAAGGGTCAACACCTTGCTGATGCTGAGTCCCCAAAATGTCATCCTCATCCTCAGGGTCCTCCTGTGGCGGATCTCGAGGCCTCCTAATGTATGGTCGGCCAATAGTAATATGCTCCCACGACCACAACTGTAGTAGGATGAGTAGGCCTCCAATATGTCTCGAATCTCTTTGACATGCTCGACATAGCTGCAGGTACCAAAAACCAAGAGTCGCACTCCCCGAGCTGTAGGTCGAAGCTGTCTCCCAGTCTCGAAGGAACGACAAGTAGTAGAGTGACACAGCATCGCCACTCTTGTCGGCAAACAGAATAGATCCCATGAGAGTGAGAATGTAAGCACAGTTATGGCGCTGAACTGTCAAGTCATCGGCTCCCTCTGGCATCTGTGAGAAATGACGTCTGAGCCACGTCAACTTCAAAGTAGATCCCTCCAGAAACGGTTTACCGTTATCATCATGGCCAGGTCGAACTCCCAGCAACTCCTCAACTAGGTCATGCCATCCCTCAAATGGAGGTCCAATGACAGGAGGGCCGTGCACTCTCAGACCTAACAGGACGGCGACATCCTGTAAAGTAATGGTGGCCTCACCTACCACTAGGTGGAAAGTATGTGTCTCCTGCCTCCACCTCTCAACCAACGCCGTAAGAAGAGATCGATCAAGCAAAAACCCTCCTCCCAAAATCCTATGCACACCGTAAAACCCAGCAAGCCTAACGTACTCTAGTACTCCGCCCTCTACCCTCCACTCACGTCCCACGCTGACCATATGCTCCCTAACTGAGAGAACTCTATCAGCTACGCCACTCCAAACATCGTGGCTCCTATGGGAAGTCTGCAACCGTAAAACAGATGGATCAACTGGGCCTGGACGAATCACCGGCTCCATGGGACCTACACGATAACAAAAAATTGAATTAATATTAAGCGTTCGAGAAAAAACATAAATATTAAACAAGAATATATAATTAATCATGTTACCCAGATGATCCAACACCACCAATAAGAGTAGGACATGTCTTCTTGTTATGCCCAGGTCGCCGACAAACACTGCATGCCTTCTTCACACGATAAGGACGCTCATCCATTTCATTTCGAATTCTAGTGGACTGTCGGCCTGAGCCTCTTTTCAAATCTGGGTTGGCCATAGTAGTAGGCCCATTGTAAGCTGACCAGTGGCAAGGATCAGGAACTGGTGCGAAACACTTCGCGTATGAACGCCTATACTCGGCGGTCGTGAAAAAAGAATCTACAAAGTCTACATGTGATAGGCTTCGATGACGACAGACTGCTAGGACATGAGAGCATGGTAGCTTGTATATTCACAATTTCTCACAAGTACATGTCTTGCTCAACAGATTCACAGTGTGGGAGTTACCACCTTTACCAGCTTTTCTCCTTCCACGACCAGTCCTAACCTGATACAACCCGATGGCATCATAGTCAAAAGCAACAACCTCATGGTGCGTGGCTTTCTCCATGTTGGCTTCTATTGTCTTCATAGCCTTTTCCGATAACTCATGACCCTCTTCAAGTCTTCTTTTACTCCAACTTCTTCTAGTTGCAAAATAGGAGTTAACCCGGAAAAAGGTCATTTGCACTAAAGCGGTTATCGGGAGACATCGAGCCCCCTTTAAGACTCCGTTGAAAACTTCCGACATGTTTGCAGTCTTCACACCAAACCTGAAACCACCATCATGATGAATGGACCACTTACTATACGGAATTTCCATCAAGTACCTACGGGCCTCTACATTCAAGTCATCAATTTTGTTGATGTAGTAATCAAACTTCTTCTTCTGCCTTGCAGTAGCTGCTTTGCCAAAGAGGTTCTTTATGACGACACTTTTAAATTTTGAATTCACATTAGAAGCCAAGTGTCGTGTACAGTACTTGTGGTAGGCATTGGGCTCCTCCCAACCACTTCCAACTTCTTCCATTGCTGCTAAAATACCAGTATGTCTGTTAGATATCACACATAGCCCTTTCCTATCTGTAACTCGAGCTCAAATACAAGCCATGAACCAAGACCAGCTATCATTGTTCTCTCCTTCGACAACCGCAAAAGCGAGGGGGAATAGTTGAAAATTGGCATCCGTTCCCATAGCAATAAGTAGAGTGCCTTTGTATTTGCCATATAAATGAGTGCCATCAATGGTGATAAGGGGTCTGCAGTGACGGAATCCATCAATACATGGCTTGAATGCCCAAAAGACTCGTTGAAAAATATGTGTTCCAGGAACCGTACTCTCTAACAACCTCCACTCAACAACAGTTCCAGGATTTGATTCCTTGAGAGCTTGCATGTACTTAGGCAACTGTTCATATGAACCCTCCCAATCCCCATAAATGAGTTTTATTGCCTTTTGTTTTGCTAGCCATGCTCTCTTGTAGGTTATTTGGAATCCATCAAATTTCTCTTTCACAAGTTACACCATTGTCTTGATTTTCAATGAAGGATCAACGCGAATGACATCTAGAAGAGCATTGCAAACGAACTCGGAAGTGAGTATCTTATGATCTACCGAGTCGATGTCACCAACACAGTTACTTGCATGAGGGTCGTTGTACCTCACAATTTTAAACGTAGAGAGTGTTGGATCTTTCACTCCTCTAAGCCTCCACGAATAACTACATTGTTCTTTCCTCTTGCACTCGACAACATATTTCTCTGGCTCTACCTCCACAACTCGAATTGTTTGATTTCTAGCTATGGAGTAAGATTTCACACCATCTTTCAGTTGTTGCAATGAGTCAAACTGCTGTCCAACCTCAAATTCTCCCCCATTGTTATATGTCTCATTTCCTAACCAAGACATCCATGAGTTAATCAAACGAGGATCAACTTGCGGCACTTCATTGAAGTCTGAAGTGGGGGCGCTTTCTTTAATTGCCTTATCACGAGCTTCAATTACGTCTTCATCATCATCTTCATCAGTGTCATTCATCTCCGCATCACCAAATACATCAACATTGTTTGGGTCAAGAGAATCAAGAATGCCTTGTGGTTGTGTGCTTGTTGAGGTTCCAACATTAGGCGATGAGGCTGGAGACCTGAACTGTGACAGATGTTCATTGACATAATGTGGATCAACAAGCATTCTTGTGAATGACCCTATGCCCACACTTTGATTAGTAAGGGAAAACGGTTGATCCACACTACCTGAGTCACAGCAATCCACATAGCCTTAAGAGCGTTGTCGTCATTCAACGGAACTGCGACATAAGCCCTGACCATAGGATACCGCATAACCACCTTCAACTCCACAACTCTAAGATCAATACTCAATTCTTCATACAGCTTATTCAAAACTTGTGAATATGTCATCCCAGAATGTACAAAAACAAATTTTTGATTCCCACCCCTATACGTTACATCGCTATCTTTGTGGATAGTTTCTCCACCCCAATAGCAAAATAGAGGGTAGTTTGATACCTCCATGATGCATTCTAGAAAACGCCATGATTAGTGAAAGATATTAGTGTTGCAAAAATTAAATTAGACGACCATGGATAAACTACGCTATACTTAGGAAAAATACATGATTCACAAGCGGCAACAACAACAACAAATTCACAAATTGCTAAAATAAAAACATTAATGGGCAAATGCAGTACATTCACAATTCACTACTTCACCATAATTTCACTACCAAACACCTAACTCACAACCAACAACACCAACAACTTCACGACCAACACCAAACTCACCAGCCACAACAACAACAAATTCACAAGCCACAACAACAACAAATTCACAATTTGCAAACATAAAAACATCAAAGACAAATGCAATAACATTCACAATTCACTACTTCACCCAAAATTCACTACCAAACACCAAACACACAATCAACAACACCAACAATTTCACGACCAACACCCATTTCAAAGCATTAACCATAATCAACAGCCAATTCACGAATTGGATAAATAATTAACAAAATTAGGGCATAGTACACTTACCAATTCACGCAACACCAAGGAGCAAAAACTACTTCACCGGCGTCGCAACAAGCTTGGTGAACAAAGCAGCGTCTTTCCGGCAACAACCGCGGCTCCGGCGAGTATACAAGTGGCGGAGACCAGACTTGGGAGGGAGTCAGTGTGTTTTGGTGTTCGTGGGAATGTCTGAGAGTGAGTTGTAAAGAGGGAATTCTACTGCCTTGATAAATCGAAGAGGAAGACTGATTTTGTAAAAAAAAAAAGCATTCAGTGTAAACCGCTACTTCAGGTGGCGGTTTACTTAAACAAAAAAGTAGCGGTTTTTCAGTGATAAACCGCTACTTCAAGTAGCGATCTACTAAAAAAAAACGGTTCAACTTTTTTTTTTTTCATGAACCGGTGACTTAGACGGTATTCAGGGATTATAAATAAAAGCGATTGTATTTACGGAATTGCAATTGTTCTCCACTATATTTTTTGGGAAAGAGCTCTCTTTTTCCTTCTCCATTACCTGTTTTTACTCTCTGCCTTTCATTCGCTTTTCTTTTTCCCATATTGCTTTCTCTCTCCTCCTTCTCCCCCAATTCTCGACGGCGTTGGTAATGGCGGCTGAATGCTCAATTTTTTTATTTCCTTCTCTTTCATTAGCGGTGGGGCCGGCGACTACTTAATAGCCTCTCCGACCAGAACGTAGCGGCGGAGGCTGCTGTTGCTTTGGATGGGGGGCATAGAAGAAGTCATTTGGAGTATAATGTTTCGATTAAGGCGAAAATTGAGAAGTTTAATGAGGAATTGGTCGTTAATGGATCAAATGATGATGGGTTAGTGGTCGAGATTGAGGCTGAGAAAGCTGAAGTTAATGGGGATGTTTTAGTGAGAGAGAATATTGAGAGTGAAGATTTCTATGACCTGCAGGAATCTATGAGTTTTTCGGCTTCGGCTGGTAGCGAGGATTACGATGGTGAGAGGTCGGCTAGGGGTAACACCCCCATGGGAGGAGAGTTTTATGATGCTTGAAAAGGTACATTTTTATTATTAAATCTTCATCAAATTATTTGATTTTGGTCTGTGATGATTGATTGATTGACTGACATCCCCTCCCCCCTATTGTTCTTATTCAAATTCTATGACTTTGGACCATACTTCCAATTTTTTTGTCAAAATTCCCTGATTTCATGTTCTGAATTCCTTTGATTTTCCTTAAATTTTGTTACTTGGGTGTATCTTCAATTCCCCACTTATTAATTTGATAACCCAGTTGCTTGATCTGGTCCAATTTGGTTTATTTAAGTTGATTTATTAAGTGGGGTTTGTTTGATATTTAAGGTTCCCATTTTTTATTTTTTTGGATTGAATCGTAGTTTAAAATTGATCAGATTTTTCTGGGTTTGAGAAATTTGGATTTGGGTGTGATGATTTGTTGATTTTTCATGCTTTTTAGGGTTTTGGAAGTGTGAAAAGCTAATCTATTGACTGAATTGAGGATTAAGAAGTTGATTGTGTCAATTTGGTTTATTTGAGTTGATTTATTAAGTGGGGTTTGTTTGATTTTTGAGGTACCCATTTTTTTTTTATATTTTTTGGATTCAATTGTAGTTTAAAATTGATCAGATTTTTCTAGGTTTGAAAATTTTGGATCTGGGTGTGATGATTTGCTGATAATTTTTCATGCTTTTAAGGGTTTTGGAAGTGTGAGAAGCTTCTATTGACTGAATTGAGGAGCAAGAAGTTGATTGTGTGTGTGAAGGTAAGCAATTTTTCAATTTTATAGAAAAATATTCTGTTTGTTTGTGATTTGGATTTTACTAAAAAATGGTTGTTAGTTGCTAGATTTATTGCTTACTTTGTTTGATCTATGTAATTTTTACTTAGGTTGTATCTTGTTTCTTTAATCGATTAAGTGACAGTTGAAAACTATTTGATGGGACAAACTAGAAAGAGAGAAAAATAGAAAGAAGGATTCTATATATTCTTTTTAATTTTATGAGTTTTCTTTATTAGGAGCCTTTAGGCTTTAGGTGAAAGTTTAACAAGGATACTGTTTTGATAATAATGCTGAATTGCACCTTCATGTTAGAATAATTATTTTTTTAATGCATGATTCTAGATTAAGTATATTTGTTGCTTGTGCTTCAGGTAATTGTGTAGATAAATGGGATGGGATCTCAAGGGTCTAAACTCGAAATGTGTTGCTTAGGTTCACCTAATAGGACGGTAGTGCTTGAGGCTCCTGATGTTGGTAGGTCAAGCAGTTTCTCAACATTTTAAGCATAGTCATTTTCTTGAGTGTGTGTTTGTTTTCGGAGAATTCCAGTCTGATTTGAGATCATGTTTTGTGAAAGGCAATGAGGATGATAATGGGTTTGGGTTATTTGCATTCCGCGAGTTCGCATATGAACTACTTAAAAATGCCACATCAGGTTTTGCAGTTGAGAACATTGTGTCTGAGCATGGTGAAAAAGCCCCGAATGTGGTGTATAAAGGGAAACTAGAGAACCAGACTAAAATTGTCGTTGAGCGTTTTAATAGAAGTGCATGTCCTGATTCTTACCATTTTTTGGTAAGGATGCTCTCTTATTGTCCTTTGATCCAAATCACATACCGTGCTTTACCTTCCATACGAGTGGTTCTTTGAGTTTTGTCATGCTTTAGTAGGCACTCATGTTTGAAATTTTAATCTAATGAACATAGTGAATTAGCAGATGATTGGCATGTCATTTATCTGCTCTCCTCTTCTCTTGATTATAATGTTACTTCTTGAGAGAAAAGACCTAATGAATTGTTTATGGCTGCACTGTGTTAGCTCAGAATTAATTGCTTAGGGAATATATAAATGGTTGCTGAAAATCGATAGTAATCTCTAACTTTTAAGGCTGAATGCTTTCATTTAATCTTTTGGGTATGTGGTACTATTCCCGTTGTTTGAGATTAATTTTTCCTGGTAGTAATATGAGCAGGTAGCATTCAGGACAAAGGTATTTCACCCAATATCAACAGCAATGGAAGCATTTGCTTAGACATCTTGAAGGTGAGGTTGGAGAGAGCAAGATAGATGGGGAAAAGAAAGAGTTATTTGTTTTATAAAAAAGATCTAGCACAAGCCATTAAGGATAGACTTATCTAAATTCACGAAATTATGAAATACAAGTGAATGATTTATCTACACTGCTTAATGTAGCTCAATTGTGTGGAGTATTGACTCATTGTTTGCAACAGGACACAGGCTGTGGGGATAGCATGGCCAACAATTCGATCTTGCAAAAGAATACCTTGGCATCTATTTCTACGAAGAGCAAAATGCAGACGGAGGAGATATTGAGAGTTGCATGCCTTTATGTCAAGGTTAACATGAACGCTAAATGGACGATGTTCTTTACTTGAGGAAAGTTGACCTCCAAAACAATAGAAACTATATGGATCTCTCTTCTGCATCTAGAGAAGATGTTCAGCTTCTTTATAAATGACGACTTGCCTTGAACAAGGATCACTTTGCTGGGCTACCAGGAGTACAAGCATGAACAACCAATTCAGGTGTGGTTCGAGTCATTGTCAGAGTAACCTTTATTTATTCATAGGTTTCTTATTTAAGTTAATCATACACTACATGATTTTCTACGCATAACTTAGAAAGAAATAGGTTCATTATGAAATATTCATGATTGGAATATTGTGGGAATGGACATTAAATGTACATAGTATAGCTATGATATAGTATAAATTGATGAGGTTTATTTATTTATTTTAAATATATTTTTTTTTTGGGGGGGGACAAGCTATCATTTATATAGTGCTACATTTCCTTTGTAACCTTTCTTTCCATGAGGGTTATCTGTTTATTACTTTGTATATATGTTTAGATATCAGTTGAAGAAATTCTCTATGTACCAACTTTGTAGTCGTTTGAAAGTCAAATTGATGTTGCTATAAAGTGGAGACGATTTGTATGTTGTTATCTTGCTATTATACTGTAGTGTGTGGGTTTGTATTGTTTGATTTTGTAAGAGCTCTTTAATTACTCATGGCTTGATTTATTTGTTGTGTGAGTTGTTATGGGAAGTTACCGTGTAAAGTCAAGAATGAATAATTGCCTTTATTCATCTGTTGATCTACTCAACTACACTCAGAGTAACATCATTAATGCACTTTGGTTGTCAGTCTAAACATGATGGCCTGAACCCAGTAGTCGCATTCAACCAAGTTTGATCAGGATTGTTTTTTGTTTTATTGGTAATCTTTCCCAAGGACTGAATCGGACAAAATAATAAGTTCATGTAAATAGAGGGGTGTTTTAATTTTCTGTTATTAGATTAAGCCATTTGGATTAGTACTTTTAGGTGCGGGAGTTACTGGTGAACTTTTCTGGTGTCAGGTCTTATATTCTTAATGGGAGCTTTAATGCTTGTAAAGAATATAATTGTTGATGTCGCACTGAAGGCTGACAGGCTGTCATGTAATTCGATACAAATGCCTGATATCTTCTGCAAAACTTTGCATGTAACTACATTAAAGAAATTAGTTGATAAAATGTTGTTTATTCCTTGAGTAGATATTAGTGTTCAATTATAACATAAATTTTCTTAAAAACAAACAGTGATTAAGTACCCAAATTTACAATTGTGCAGGTAGAGTGTAAAGAACTATTTTATAGAGAACTGCAACCGCTTGGTGGTTCCCGTGCTGAAAAGCTTCTGCCAGGATGTTCAACTTTGGAGGAGGTAAGTTGTTTTAGAAAGCCGCTAGGTTTCTGGTGGGTTGTGGTGTGCTGTGGAGTTCGATTATGGTTTGGCTTGGTTTTGTTGAGGTAAGTGTTATGGTGTGCCTTGATTTAGGTGTTCTAGGTAAATTGCTATTCAATTAGCTTTCTTATCAACTTTGGTTATTATAGCAATTTATTAGGGATCTAGGTTTTTAATTGGTTGATTCTGATGTGAAATTGTGAGATGGGTTTTTGGGGACTGGGTTGAAGAAATTTGAGGGATTTTGTTGGTTTTGTACCTTAAAACAGTCAATTTAGGTAATATGATTGTCTGTCCGGCCATAAATCCAATTTAGTTATCAGAGTACTGAAATACAGAGTATGCAGTATTTATATTGTTGTTATACAGAAAATTGGCGTCAAACTATTGAATTCGAAATAAATTTAAATAAAAAAGAAATCAAAAATCAAAGAACATAAGTTTGATACTATTAATCGTATAAGTTTGATACCGTTGAATTGCAATTTTAATGTTTTGTGTATTTACATTCTTCACTTTCATCTCAGTTGGCATTTAACAGTTGATAATTTGGAAACCAAGGCCTTGAAGTCAATGCATGCATGTTTAATGTCCGGAAGTTATACTCGGATTGGACTTGCTGCACAAGAGGATGTATGTTCATCGAAAACCAAAACAAAGGCAGAAAATTGAACTAAGAATTACTCATAAGCTGCTCAGTACATGATCATGGTTGTGGCTGCGTAAAACAAGAGCTGATCATTATCATTGTTTTTCGTAGGAGCTGTAGTGAGTGCTGACTTCTTTTGGCTCATTTACCTTAGTTACAGCTGCTTTTTAGGTGATTCTTTTTTTGAATTTGGGTATTTTTTTGTCTACTTTCTGCTTTTTAGGTGATTCTTTTTCTTGTAAAATTTCAGAATTTTTGGAGAGTATTTGCTATTAAACTTGGGCGGATTAGTTCAAACTGGTCAGTTTTGGTTCGAATTTGTCTGTCCTGGCTGTTTGGGTGCACTTTTGATAGGGCTATTGTAACACCCCGTTCTTTTAGAACTGGAACTGTTAGCGGAAATACGCCTGAACGGGAGGCTACTAAACTTCGATTGGAAAAGTCAAGCTTTACCTAGGTCTAAAAGTTAAATTTAAGTCATTCAAACATCCAAATTTAGTTGTTTTAACCTAAGCACAAACTAAGTGAAAAAAAAAAGAAAAAAACAATAACAAATGAATTTAAACATAGGCAAATCAATTACATTCAAAAGCTAAGGGTAGAACAACCCTTATCGGCCAAACTGAAATCAAACTAAACCAAATTCAAAGCACTTAAACAAACAACTAACAACAAAGACATACAAGCCCAAAAGTTGGTTTCTAAACTCTCAATTCCCAACCCATCGTCACATAAATCAAATAAACAAATAAAACCTGCAAATTACAACAAAGTTCCACAATCAGTGGGGAGCAACTAGCAGTTCTCCCTCAAATCAGAAATAGAAGATTTTAGACTTAAATTAATAGAAAGAAACCACAATTACAAACAACTTGCAAACTCAAATGAAATCACTTAAAACCATCTAACCCTAAAACTATGAAATATTTCCCAATAAACTTAAAATGAGAAATCGATATTAAATCACTTAATTTCAATCATAATTTATATAAACATCAAAATAAGTAATAATTTCATAGTTTCAACATTTCAAACTCAACATTCAAAACAGCAGAACTAGAATGGAGGGAATGCTAGTGGCCTCGCAATCCACTTCCTAAGGTTTGTCAGGACGAACCCCCGGTCATCTCGCAGAGACCGTGTCTAAGATTGGCCAAACTCCCGACTATGGGTAGATGTCAATCGGCCTCACACTACCCCCGGACGACAACAATTAACCTAGGTTGAGCTACCTAAGACTCGCAATCAAGGTAGTTAGCATGTTCATTAACCATCGGGAAGCAACTCGGCCTCACACCCGACTATGGCCCCACACACAATTCAAAATCATTTAAGATTCTTAATATAATATATTTCACTTAGAAATCTGCAGAGAAGCCTAAATGGTCTTACACTCAATTCAAAGTGCATAAGAAAATCATATTTCTTTAAATTCAATTGAAAATCCATTTCAAAACACATTTCAACTTAATAAACCACAAAAGATATCGTCTGAGTTTGGGAATATAATTAATTATCGGAATTCAACAATTAAGTGTCATTCACAACTCTTGGCGAAGTAATGATAAAGACAGTGTTATCCCTCTCTAAAGCATTACGACATCGACAATTTAAATTACAACTCACACATATTCAAACACACATCAAATATTTTACTTTAGGGGTTTATAATACCCAAAAATTCACACATCACATATGAAAATATAATTTCAACTAATATATAATAGTTATAATAAAAATTCCATAAATTCATTTGATAAAACCAAAAATCCAAACTACAATTTCATAAAACAACCAAAACAGGGCAGCAACATATAAGTCCAAAAATCATCATAAAAACCTAACCAAATATGCTTCAAATGCGAAATAAAAATTAGGGCACATACATACACTCAATAGGCATCATATAAAACCATTTCGGACGTAAAATTCAAGAGAGAACATGCCCAAATAAAATCATATTTACAGCAGCCCCTACACTAATATACAGCAGTACCAATCATACCAAATCACCCAGAAATCCACCTTAAACATGAAACTAAGCTTAGCCCATTAGAGTATACACTCTAAAAACATAATAGGTCAAAATAGGCACAAGATTAGGCATAAAATTTAGGCAACACATCACTTAAATTCATTCATTCCACACGGTTCACAACAGACGTGGGAGCAACACCTCTTATTGGTTTTAGGCCATTAAAACTAATCAAATTTGCTTGGAATCATGCCAAATTAATTAGGTGATATCCTAACATGATACTAATTTATTTTGAGCAAGAAAATCAATCAATATAATCAGATTTATGACCTCAAACTCACGCATAACATGCTGTAACTTCAGTCGCGGATTTCGGTTTCCCATGTTCAATAACAAGTCCAAAACATGCCCAAAATCAAAGTTTAACACATGGAACTAATACCTAATTAACCCTAATATACCACTATACATCAACCAACAAGAATAAGCCTAAGAAACCTAGGTAAACATGCCTTACAACCACAACAAAACTCATGACAGGTATGTAACATTTCAGCAGTACCTATGGTGCATTTTGAGCCTCAAAACCATGTATAAACTCATTAAAAATATCATTCAAAGATCATACAACATCAAGGTTTGATATAAATCAAGTTTGGGCACAAAAACATGGATTAAAATCACCAATTCAAGCTCTACATTACACAAATTACAGCAGCCACAAAGTGAACGAAAATCAGAAAATAAACCTAATCCTAGCCATGTTTCTACCTATCAATTCAACCCTAAAATCCAATAGTTCTAACCCAAAGAAGTAAAGCTAGTTACCTTTGATTAGGAGATAAGAAAAACCAGATTAAGAAGAGCAAAGAAAAGAGCCACGAGATCAGATCACCAACGCCTAGGATCACGCCCAAAACAACCCTCTAAACACCCTTATTGTTCTTCACCTTTTGATCCTTCAAAGGGGGATGAATATGGCACGAATTAGGAGCCCTTTGTAGCAGAAACTAGGGTTCAAATCACCCTTGATTTACCCCTTGAATGCACGAAAATTTTGAAGAGGAAAGGAGGAGTTGTGCTGCGTTTTTTTGTGATGGAGAAAACTGATATTTGAACGTAAAAGTGATGGGGAATGAGGAGTCTTTTGGGAGGCCTTCATTAGTGCTTTGATAGGTCATTTAGACAAAGTTAAGAGAGGGTTACTAGGGTGAAAAATATATGCCACTTACCCCTTGATGTCTGCCGTGAGAATCATTAGAAATGGGCTCAAATTGAGCTCACCAAAAGGCCATACAAAGCTAGGGTTCAAGGCCTCATTTTGGACTCACTTAGGATGTGTTTGCTAAGCTTGAGAAGAGAGTATATTAGTCCCTAATAGAAGCTTACTTACCCGTTTAAAGCTAGGTAAAAGCTCGAACTTAGACAACAACGAATAGGCCCACAACTAAAGTAGGAAAGAGGTGTAATGAAGGGCGAATTGAAACGCGTCTTTAAAAACGATAATATAAATTATATTATTGATATCTCAATAATAATTAGAATAATAATAACGAAATAATTTAAATCACGATATAAAAATATATATAAAGTTTATAATTTACAAAAAAGAAATATAAAAAGGCAATTTGCGAAACCAATAATATTTATAATGACCTAATTAATAAAAGGATATTATAAAGGGTTTTATAAATATTAAATTAAAGAGTAGTTTATAAAATCAATTTGATAAACGAGTTGACGGAATCACCCAATACAACTTTATTTATCGATATTGATACGATTGAATGTAAAACGCAAACTCAAAAATCATTTTACACCAATCAAATTGGCACTTCAGTCAAGGAATCACCGATGATGACCCGTATCAATCGCAATAGGTTAAATAATATCAAAATTACTATAATTTATGTGTAACACTTACTGAATTGATGCTTAAGCTTAAGGAATCACCCTTAAGGCTAATATCAATTCAGGCAAGTCAAATATAGTTGAAATGATTAAAACTCAAATATAAAAACCTTTTAAATAATAACTTTCAATCGTTTCGTTAAAATATTATAATTGGGGTTCCAAAAGCTTGAGATGACCCTTAAATCAAAATAACAATTTTAATATTCAAATCAACATTTCAATTTAGAAATAAATTAGAAATTAGGTTTAATAAGTTGAAATGCACATAAAATAGTGATTTGAAAATATGGGGTGTTACAGCTATGCTGCAAATTTCGTTGTGGATTTTCTCTGTGATTTAAGGTACATTAAGGGTGTTTCGAAAATATAATTGCGCTCTTTATTTCCCCCATGTTTTCTTGTGTGTTTATTTTGTTTCTTGTATATGATCACTATGGCAGAGGAATTGGTATATAAAAGAAAAAAAAAAAAACCTTATGGACGTTTACTTGATCAGAGAGCAGACAAAGTAGCTGATCAGACCAAGGCTAGATTTAAGGCTCTCTCTAAACTAATACGAAGTAAGTGACTGCACAATGAAGAAAAAGAGAAAGGATAGTGATGATGAGTTTGAATCAAAGCACTCTAAAATCGATTGATAGGCATATCAAGCTCGATGATTTTACTGGCCTTGGAAGACCAGATGACTATCTAGGTTGGGAGAGACAGAAGAGAAGATATCTGACTATAAAGTGTTCGATGGTGCTAAAAGGCTCAAGATAGCCTATATCTCCACGACCAGGGGCGGACCCACCTTTAGTCATAGTGGGTCCGGTGACACAGTATTTTTTTTTAAAATTAAAATATCAAAGAGACCCCTTATTATAGATAGGTGGTCTCTTTGATGCTGCTATTGGTAACAACAAACAATATTAAAGAGACCTTTTATTAAGATAGGCGATCTCTTTCATGCTGCTATTGCTACAAAAGACTTGCTGTGGTTTTTTTTTAAATATTAAAAAGACCTGTTATTTATATAAGAGGTCTTCTTGATGCTGTTGCATTTCGCAATTTTTTTGCGCTACTTTCTTTTTTCATTAAAGAGACCAGTTGTATTTAATAACTGGTCTCTTAAGTTATCTCACTTTTTTTTGTATAATTTTTTAATAATTTTTTTCCCTTTTTATATCTTATATTTGTACAACCAAGTTTAATATTTCCCCATAAAGCTTATCAATTAACTAAAAAATCATAAAGTTAATTCAATATAATAATTTTATTGTACCATTTGTTTATAACATGTTATTTGTAATATTTTCGACTTGTAAAATTGAATTCTTAAGTACTGTATTTGGTTGTGGTATGAATTTTTGTGTCCTATTTTTGGATTGAAATCAATTTGGTGAAATATATATATATATATATATATATATATATATATATATATAATTTTTGGATTGAAATTAATTATGAACAAGACATGGAAAAAAAAATTGTACTTTCACAAATGATCAATAATTGATGGTGACACACTATCTCGGAAATCCTGGATCCACCACTGTCCACGACCTCATGTTATTATATGGGTTCATATGTTGATCGCTTTGCTTTGCTTTGCTCATGGGGCAATATAATCAGATTTGAATTATGATCATAGGAGTTCAAGTCCAAATGTTTTCCTTCTAATCTACTCTTCAAGGTTCTTTCCTGAAATAGGATCCTTGTGTGAATATTTTCCAACAACTAGTTAAGATCCAAAAATTAAGAATATACCTCCACCTTAGACGATCTTGGTAAAAAATTGTGATTACAGTAATTGTAAGAATAAAATGTTAAGTATATGAATGACATTTCATACAAAAAATAAGGAGGCAACTCTGATCTGCATTTGAGAAGCAAAATAACATTCTTATTTTTAATAAGGTCTATACACATATCAATAGTAAATAAATCACCTAATAGAGGGAGTAAAACTCAAGTTATGTTAAGATAGATGTTGCCATATATTATTGTTATATGATATTATCTTTTAGGAAATATATATATATCTTAGAAGATATTATCTTGTGTAGTTGAATTGTTCCCCAAGTCAATAGGTTGTATAAATATTCATTGATGGTGAATGAGAAAGATTGAGATCTTGAGGTTAATTTGACATGGTATCTTAGCCAAGTTAAAACTCCAAAAGAAATTTAGAAATTATTTTGAAAAAAAAAAAAAAACGAAGATCATTAATGTGAAGGAGATGGAGAAAAAACAATAGTTGATTTCATTTATTACCTTGGATCGAATGATAATTCAGGGAACATAATCACCCCAATTCAATTACGGGGGGAGAATTATGATGAATGGGCGCAAGCAATTTGACGTTCGTTGATGGCAAAGAGAAAATTTGGTTTTGTGGATGGAACAATCGAAAAACCGATGGACACACCCTCGAAGGTGGAAGATTGGATTGTTGTCCAGTCCATGTTGGTGTTGTGGATTACTAACACTCTCGATTAGGGGTGTCTATTCGGTTTTCGGTTTGGATTTTAGCCAAATCCAATACGATCCGAAATAAAATCGGTTTTTAATTTCCAAATCCAATCCAATCCGAATTAAAATTCGGGTATTTGGATCCGATCCGAAAATCCGAATTAAAATACATTGCAAATTTTTTGAGCCTAAAGTATTATAAAAATAAAAATGCAATTATAAAAATTTTAGTTTTGAAAACATAGTTGTACATGATTAATACAAGTATTGATAACATAGTTTTACATAATTTATATTAATGTAGTTATCAACGTAATTTTACATGATTAATATTAACAATCATTATTTGTAAAAGCATGGTTTCATATTTTGTTTAATTTCGGTTTTTTGGATCCAAACAAGGTCAATCTGATCCGATCCGAAAATCAGAATTTTCAAAAAATTTGAATCCGATCCAATCCGAATTTAAGTTTGGATCCAATCTGAATAAGTATTTCTGTTTGGATTGGATTGGATTTCAATTTTTATCCGAATAATGGACACCCCTACTCTCGATTCAAAGCTTCGATCTACAATCTGGGATTATGATCATGATGCACATATTTTGTGGATGAACTTGAAGAATCGCTTTTGCGTGGTGAGTGGTACTCGAGTGTGCCAGTTGAAGACGACTTTGGGTAAATGCAAGCAATCATTCTCTGAGTCCGTGGCCGATTACTTTGGCCGCCTTGCGAAGATCTGGAAAGACCTTCTCACATTCATGCGTGTGCCCAAGTGTGCGTGTGGGAAGTGTACTTGTAATATCATGGCTCAAGTCGAAGCAATTAAAGAGGAGGATTACCTTCATCATTTCTTGATTGGGTTGGATGATCATTATGCATCGATTCGAGCACAATTACTTGCTCAAAAACCTCTTCCATCGGTTGATATGGCTTACCAAAATATTGAGATGACTAAGAGACTCCGTGGTGGCAGTACAAAGGTGGAGAATGTGATGGCTTTTAAAGTTGACTCAAAGTCTAGTTCGCGATATGAAGACAATAGTGATAAGTTTTGCAATTACTGCAACAGAGAGGGACATGATGAAAGTGGCTATTTCAGATTCATGGCTATCCCCCGTGGTGGGGGGATCGTGGTCGCGGTGGTAGAGGTAGAGGCTGAAGTGGTGGACGTGGAGGGGGTCGTGGAGCGGGAGGTCGAGGCACACGTTCAGGTGGTTCGGCAGCTGCGGCTTCCTCCTCTCAACAGCCGCCTGTGTAAGCAAATAAGGTGGCTGGGAGCACCTCACAAACAGTCTTCGAAGGTAGGAGGCTCCTCTAATGATGATGATGTGCAAGGTCTTGTGGGAGTCAGTGCTACTCAAGTACAACAGATTTTGGAGATTTTAAATCCAAAGAATCAAAAATTGCATGGTAAGACAAATAAATTACCTTAGATTGTGGATACAGGGGCAACAAATCATGTTACATGTGATTTCACGATACTCAAGAATGTGAGGCAAATACAAAATTGTCCCGTAGGTTTGCCAGACGGAAAGTCGGCTAATGCGGATCAATTGGGAATGGTGATATTACCGGGAGGATTGCATCTTGATAATGTGCTTTATGTTCCTCAATTAACTTGCAATTTAATTTCTGTGACCCAATTAAGTGATGAATCTAAATGTATAATCCAATCTACTAACAAAATATGTGTTATACAGGACCCTCAGACGAGGAGGATGATTGGTGTGGGTGAGCTCGATGATGGACTATAGTTCTTCCATGGTGTTTCTCAAGTGAAGGTTCTAGTAGTGGATGGAGAGTCTTCGTTTGACCTATGGCATCAACGGATGGGACTCCTTCAGAGAAGATGTTGAGAATGATTCCAAGCGTGAGTAGTTCTTCTAGGAAAAATTATAATAATCCTTGTGATGTTTGTCCTCATGCAAAACAATCTAGGTGTAGTTTTCCTATTAGTGAGAATAAAACAAGTCGAATTTTTGAACTTGTGCATATTGATTTGTGGGGTTCATATAAAACACTTTCTTCGTGTGGTGCATATTATTTTTTAACAATATATAGTTGATGATTTTTCTAGAGGTGTTTGGATTTATTTGTTGCAAAATAAAAAGGATGTTGAGTTAATGTTCTTGAATTTTGTTGCTATGGTGAAACAACAATTTAATCAAGTAATTAAAATTGTTAGGAGTGACAATGGGACGGAATTTAACTCCTTAAGAGAGTTTTTTTTTTCTAATGGGATGATATTTGAAACCTCTTGTGTGGGCACTCCTCAACAAAATGGGAGAGTTGAGACAAAATATCAACATGTATTAAATGTTGCACGGGCTTTGAGATTTCAAAGTAACTTGCCATTGACATTTTGGGGAGAATGTGCTTTAGCGGCATGTCACTTAATTAATAGAACTCCAACTCCATTACTTGAAAATACAACGCCTTTTGAAGTGCTTTTTAATAAACCACCATCATATGAGTCCATTCGTGTCTTTGGGTGTCTATGCTATGCACACAATCAAAAGAGTAAGGGCGATAAATTTACTAGTCGTAGTAGAAGGTGTGTGTTTTTGGGCTATCCTTTCGTGAAAAAGGGTTGGAGAGTGTTTGATCTAGAAACCGGAGACATCTTTGTTTCGAGGGATTTGCGATTTTTTGAGAATATATTTCCCTTTGCTGTTTCTCCAAATGAGAAATTAGAAGTCCGTACACATGGGCGTGAATTGGAGGAGGGTGTGGAGTGATGATGAGGAGTGGGTGGCTAGGCAGCCATGTTAGGCACCAATTCTAGAGACTGCTCAGCCCATTGTCCACCCAGAAGGCGTTGGGGAGTCAGGTGTGCACCAGCCCGAGGCTTCTGCCCAACCCGCAGCATTTCCACCGGGCGCTGGGGGAGGCATCGAACAGTAACAGCAGGACCCCAAGCATGTACAACAACAGCTTCATGCGGTAGAGCAGACCGGGCAAGTACAACAGCAGCATAATGAAGTAGAGCAGGCAGGCAGTGTTAGCGAAAATTTGGGGAAAGGCAAAAGAACAAAAATGCCTAACTCTAAATATCGAGACTTTGTGACTCATACTATACGGAAATACAGTCCATCATCAACAACTCCAACTACATCACCTTCCTCAGGTACTCCTTATCCTCTCACATATTTTGTTGATTGCTCACGGTTTTCTGAAAAACACAAAAAAGTACATTGCAGCAATCACAGCAGGACATGAGCCTAAGACTTTCAAAGAGGCAATGATTACATGCGGGATGGAGAGATGCAATGGCTGCAGAAATTAGAGCTCTAGAAGAGCAAGGAACATGGATACTTGAAAAACTTCCACATGGGAAGAAAGCATTAGGAAGCAAGTGGGTGTACACAGAAAAACGTGATGAGTTCGGTAATTTGCAGCGATTAAAGGCAAGATTGGTGATTCTAGAGAATCATCAAGTAGAAGGACTTGATTACAACGAGACATTTACTCCGGTTGCGAAGATGACTACAGTTCGAACCTTTTTAGCAGTTGCAGCCGTGAAAAATTAGGAGGTGCATCAAATGGATGTACATAATGCCTTCTTACATGGAGACTTGGATGAGGACATATACATGAAAATACCTCTGAGCTTTAATAAAAATAACTCTGATCACGTGTGCAGGATGAAGAAATCGTTTTATGGTCTAAAACAGGCTCCGAGATGTTGATTTGCTAAACTAACTACAACATTGAAGAAATATGGATTTAAACAATCCTACTGTGATTATTCTTTTTTTCACATTAACCAAAGCAAAATTACAGTTGAATGTGTTGATATATGTTGATGAATAGATTGTTGCAGGGAATGATAAAATAGCCTTATCAAAGTTTAAGGCGTATTTGGGAGATTGTTTTAAAAGATGAAAGACTTGGGGGTGTTAAAATACTTCCTAGGTCTAGAGGTTGCGAGGAGTAAGAAAGGTTTTTATATTTGTCAACGGAAGTATTCTCTTTAAATAATTTCAGAGACTGGATTATTAGGGGCGAAACCTGCAGATTTTCCAATGGAACAAAATGATAAATTAGCTCTAGCAGAAGGCAAAGTATTAGATGATGTGGAAAATTATAGACGGCTTGTTGGATGTCTAATTTACTTGTCTGTGACTAGGCCGGCATACCTTGTTCACATTTTATCTCAGTTTATGCAGAGTCCGAGAGAAGAGCATTGGGAGGCCGCACTCCGTGTTGTGTGCTACTTGAAGAAGAATCCGGGCCAAAGGATACTTCTTCGTTCAGACAGTGAGCTAAGACTTGAAGGTTGGTGCGACTCTGATTGGGTAAGTTGTCCTTTGACTAGGAGGTCGTTGACTGGTTGGTTTGTGTTACTTGGTTTCTCTCTTGTCTCTTGCAAAACCAAGAAACAACATACAGTTTCTCGTTCCTCTGTGGAAGTGGAGTATAGGTCGATTGCTTCTGTGATGTGTGAATTAAAATGGTTGAAGCAATTATTAGGCGATTTGGGTGTTCATCATTCGCAGAGTATGAATTTATTTTGTGATAGTCAGTCAGCTCTGTATATTTCTCAAAACCTGGTATTTCATGAAAGGACGGAACATATTGAAGCGGATATTCATTTTGTGAGAGATGCAATTAAGGACGGGTTGATATCACCGTCCTATGTGCCTACGAAGATGCAACTAGCATATATTTTTACAAAAGCTTTAGGGAAAGCTTAATTTGAGTTTCTACTTGACAAGTTGGGCATTCGGGATCTTCATGCTCCAAATTGAGGGGGTGTTAAGATAGATGTTGCCATATATTATTGTTATATGATATTATCTTTTAGGAAATATCTAAGAAGATATTATCTTGTATAGTTGAATTGTTCCCCAAGTCAATAGGTTGTATCAATATTCGTTGATGGTGAATGAGTAAAATTGAGATCTTGAGGTTAATTTGACAAGTTACAATGAAATTTTGCAAGAATTTCAAAGCTATTATATACAAGTTGAAAATTTCATTTGATTGATTTACTAGACGATAATTGGATTGCTCGATATTAGTTTGTTAAACTATGGAGTAATTAACATCATAAACTAATCATGTCTGATGTCCCTATATTTAAGGACTACAATCACTATACATATCGTCGTACCCTAATTTTGAGCATTACTTTCAACATGTATAGATATGATATATTTTCATTTTGAGCATTACTTTCAACATGTATAGATATGATATATTTTCTTAAGAACCTAAAATATGGGATTATTTTAAATGATAAATGGTAATAATTCTCATAATACCAGTGGTGGATCTTGGCCAAAAATATTAGAGGGGGCGGGATTTAAATCTTTTACCTCCCGCTCAAAACTAATCACTATGTCCTGATATGTTATGAGTAAAATAAGTTTATTTAAGTTCATTAACTAAATAATTACAATAATTTACCAGGGGTCGGCCCCTAATGGCCTTGGTGGAAGGTCCCCTCTGCATAATACAGCACAATAATCCATTTGGCAACCGTGAATATGGTGTATTGTTGACAACCAAGACACATGGAAACAAAGCATATGATAAATCGATAGATATATGCTTATACATCATATACTCAATTGCAATGTTTATCTAGCTGAACATATAACATGCAAACTACAGTCAATTATAATAATGCATGCAAAAAAATAAATAGCACATGTACAAATTAATAGGATAATGACTTAAAGAGTTGCCATTAAATTAAGGACTTTGAAGAAGTATCTTCGTGCGTCAATTTACATGATATTGTACGTGAAAATGACAATTTAATGATGATATATTTACGTAAACATCGTATAGGTCCTTTTCATACCAATTTATGAGCGTTGGGCTAGTCAGATCATATTTATTAGGTTCTGCTGCTGCTGCTGCTAGTACTACGGAGTACTAAACAATGAATATCAGAATATGACTACTACTTAAATTGTCACCAAAATTTTCATGCGAAACTGAAGTTGAAAGGCTTCATAACAGTCATAATAACTTATAAATGTATCCATAATTTGATGGCAATACTACTTTTCCTTGAGATCGACAATTTATACTTACAGACTTACAGTGGTAACAAATGGTGGTGAAAAATGATCGAACTGAGGTAGAAGATTTATATTGAAAATAGATGTGACTAATGGATCCATCATTCCATCGCCAATCATTTGCTAATGGAAATTGCAAACGGATAAATATACACGGAGTATATATATGCAATCGGGTGACATTTAACTTAACAAGGGTTTAGATGCGTTTAACGTAACACATGGTATCTAGACCTGACAATCGTGTCGTGTCGTGTTGTGTTCGTTTTTGTATCGTGAATTAAACGGGTTGGGGAAGGTCAACAATAACCCGACTCATTTAACAAACGTGTTGTGTTGTGTTGACCCAATAAATTAATCGTGTCGAAAACCCTTAACACTAACCCGCTTTTTTCGTGTTTGGTTCGTGTCGCGTTGTTGTGTTGAATTGAAAAATATTGGTCTTATTCAATATATTTATCAATAATTCCATAAATTATTGGGTTTTTACATTAGGCGGGTTAGGTCGTGTTAATTTCGTGTTGAGAATCTCATCACTAACCCAACCTGTTTAATTAAACGTGTTGTGTCGTGTTGACTTGTTTAATTAAACGTGTTGAAAACCCTTGACACTAACCCGTTTTTATCGTGTTCGGTTCGTGTCGTGTCAGTTTTTGCCAGCTCTAATAGTATCAGACCCAAAGTTAGATTAAATAGCTAAAATCATGGACAACTTACATGTTAGCTGAGAGGGGGGAGGGAGGTGGTGTTGATATTTAACAAGCCACATGTATGTGAATATCTTGTCCTACATCAAAAAATAGGATCGGACTAACTTATAAGCGCATGAGTTAATCTTTTATCATCAATTAATTTAAAAATTGAATCTCATTCTCTTTTAATAATTTGATCTTATAAGTTCTTTGTTGATGAAAAATAATGTTACAATTTAATTTGTCAATTTTCACTGTCTACGTAATACTTCGTATCCTTTTTCTTTCATTTCACCCTCAATGTACTCTTACAAGTATTTTTGTTCCATCATTCTTGTATTATAAGGCTTTTATTAATTAAGAAAAGATACATATAATATATGGACCTTAATTAACAAAAAAAAAAAAAAAAAAAAGAAGGGAGGGATACAAGACGTACGTGGTCCAATACGTACACTAAGCTCTCTAAAAGTCTTAGTTCATTCGATTAAGAGATGGATATAACTAAACATTGTAAAGACCAAACACTAGCTAGCTCCTCGGTGAAAGTGTATCTTGTACACCCTAATTTACTAGCTAGCCTAAGTATATAAGGAGTGACATAAATTATATTGATTGGGGCATGAAGTAGAGATTGCTTTACCTTCTTCATGTCTTGTGCTAATCCATATCCATATCTTCTTATTTGTTATTAGTAGCTTTCAGACACAACATGTGCACTTAAAAAAAAAAAAAAAAAAAAAAAAAAAAAAAAAAAAAAAAAAAAAAAAACCTTCAAATATCATATATATTGATCATCACTTGTCTTGTTTGCATGCCTGACTCTCGCTACACCAAAAATGTATCATAATAATTGTTGCTTTAATCACATAAATTTTAATCTGGAGATTAAAGTTATTTTAATTTATTAGTACATATTAATGTCGATGATTGGGTTATCAATCGCGTTATCTACTAATCTATTAGCTATATATATATATATATATATATATATATATATATATATATATATATATATATATATATATATATATATATATATATATATATATATATATATATATATATATATATATATATATCTTACTACGTACTTAAGAGTTCCCATTCCACTCTTTAAATCAAAGATAGAAAAGCTGCTAGAAAGATAATTAATGGGTGTATGACGGGGAAAGTTCACTTCATTTTTAAGTGATCAAATAAGCTAAAGATAATCTGATCTGTTCTCCTACATTAAGAAATTGGCAAAAAAAAAAAAAAAAAAAGCTTAGACAAATGTGTAAATTTTACATTGTGGTATTGTGCTTGTTAGAATATCATAATGCATGCCTTTATTATATGCATGTATACGAACTGGTCACTACTTGTTATTACTTTAGTGATGCTAAAATGAAAATTTACGAAGAAAAGCATATACTTTTAAAGTTTTACCCATATTTTAACATAATTTCTTTAAAGTGGGTTTCTAAATAATCAAACGAGGTCCAATGACCCATATTCTCTACGTATCTCTATCTTTGATTAAAGACTTTTAAATTAAAGTGGTTGTCTTTGCATGGTAATTAATAAGCGCATATATAGATGTAAATGAACTTTATATTCTATAAACAATAACTTTCATAGCTAGAGAGTAGAGACGTATATGTGAACTTCTTCTTAAACTAGAAAGTTTGGTTTGAAAGTGATGAAAAATTAAAAAAATTTCATCACCTTAGCTTTACCTATATGAACAAATTAATTATATACACCCTAACACCTAAGCATAGCATTAAACCATCTCACATTCACAATACTTGTCCATGACCTACAACTTTACAATAGAGATTTTTTTTTGTAGGAAGGAAAATTCCAAAATAAAGTGAAACGAACCCAAGAATACCTCCATTATTAAATAAACCTCATACTCTCTCATAAATAGTGCTAATACATACATAAATTGATGAATAATATGTCGGCATAAAATCTATGTCTACTCTAAGGCTCTAAGCCAATGTTCATATTTATTCTCATTCATAAGTAACGATGATAATTTAATTTGTTGACCCATAAGGTCAGTACCACATTTTTACGTGGATTAGCATAACGGTTATTCGTCACCTTTTGTGTCTTCACTTTAATCTGTTTTCCACTGTTTCTTGTTTTCTGAAATTAGATTCACCACAAACATTCATAGGGAAAATAGGATAATTAATATAGAGGTACTACTATTTTCCATAATATAAGGATAAACCTTAATTTTTCTGTCGCGGTACTTTTATACATGGAATTTGTTATTCTACAAGAATTACCAATACAGTGTTGACTCGCTTGGTTTATTATCTTATTATTTAATTTGGGATTTGAATCATCATGTGCTAAGCAATAATGATTCTGTGATTGTATGATTATCAAAAACCCAGTACATATACTAGACAATTATCCCATATACCATAGGATAAGATAATACTAATGATAAACATTTATCCCTAGGATAAAGGGAACTTCCTTAATGATAGGAGAAGATAATGATCTTAACTATAAGATAATATTCTATACTAATCTATCTCAATATCCCCCCTCAAGTTGAAGGATCTCGAAAATCCAACTTGGATAGTAAAAATTTAAATTGCGATTTTCCCAAGGCTTTTGTAAAAATGTCTGCTAGCTGGATCGTTGTCGAAAATATGACGGACTAATAGTACCATCAGTAATAGCATCCCTGACAAAATGACAATCTATCTCAATATGCTTCGTTTGTTCATGAAAAACAGGGTTTTGAGCAATATAAAGTGCGGATTGACTGCCACTGTAAAGATTCATTCCCTTTTTATGTTCGACACCTAGATCTTTCAACAATGCTTTAACCACTTCAATTCACACGTTACTGCAGCCATTGCCCAATATTCTACTTCTGTAGATGACTTAGAAACCGTGTGCTGCTTCTTGGTTTTCCAAGAAATCGGAGACAAACCAAGAAGAACGAACCACCCT